CAAAATGAGGACAGTACCTGCCTTATAGAGTGGTGAGGAAAGAGAATGGACACAAAGCATTTAAGAGAGTGTATTAATCATCTAACTATGGGACTAGTAAGAAAAATAAATATTGGGCTACTAGCTATAGGGTCATTGGGGTTTTCTTCTAAAATGTTACATACTACTTTGAAAATTTAATTCTCTTCCATAAAGTTTTAGGGGCTTTCCTGGTGGCTCAGACAGTAAAGAATTTGCTGGCAGTGTGGGAGACTTAGGTTAGATCCTTGGGTTGGGAAGATCCCCTGAGCAGGAAATGGCAACTCACTCCAGTATTCTTGCCTGGAGAATTCCATGGACAGAGGAGCCTGGTGGGCTACAGTCCATGGGGTCGCAAAGTTTTAAAAAGTCTGTGCTATGTTATTGTGGCGGAAACATTTTCCCATGGAGAAACATCATAGTAAGCAAATTATTTGGGATCATGTAGCTAGAATAGTTTTTTATACATCAAATTCAACAGCTGTATTTCCTCAGCAAACATTATGTTACTCCTGATAAGTTTATTGTGCAATATAAAAATGCTTGTTAAGGCACACGATGTAGTGTACTTAGTTTTTTGTAGTGTACTTAATTATTATAATTTTGCAACAATCTAGAAAAGTATTGATACTGTATGTTTATGCATGATTCTGCACTTATGAAAGAGGCAAAATGTTTTCCATTAACCATTCTGCTGCTAAATCTTCATGCCTTTGTAGAAAGCTATAAATTATTTTGCTATTTTAATCATAGTATTTTGCCTCATAAGGAAATATTTTAGTATTTATTTTAAATACTAATTCCTCATAAGGAAATACCTAGTATTTATTTTATTTGCTTCCATTGTCTTTCCATAATTACTTCTTTAAAAAAAAAAATTTCTGCCTGTGCTGGTTCTTAGCTATGGCATGCAAACTGTTGGTTGCAGCATGTCGGATCTAGTCCCCTGACCAGGAATCAAACCTGGGTCACCTGCATTGGGAGCCTGGAGTGTTAGCCACTGAACCACCCGGGAAGTTCCAGCACAATTACTTCTATTGTTTTATAGTTATTTTTTATGTTGACTGCCTTTAGTCTAAAAAAACGACTAAAAATTTGTAATGAAAAATAAGCCCCCTTTGCACTTGGCCTCCAATTCCCCACTTCCCCTAGAAAGGCAATCACTATTACCTTTCTTTGTATCCTTCTGGAAATGCTTTTATAAATATGTAACTGATATAGCTCCCCCTTCCCCAGCTATACTTAATCTTCTGCTCCTTGCTTTGTTCTTTTAATAATATATCTTAAAGGGACTTCCCTGGTAGTCCAGTAGTTAAGACTCTTTCCAATGCAGGGGGCGAAGATGCTATTCCTGGATAGGGAACTAAGATCTTGCATGTCGCTGCCAAAAAAAACCCCCCAAAACTGAAGAAGAATATATTTTAAAGATTGTTCTGTATCTATTATATTTGCTTCATTTAAATACTTGAATTTAAATGACTTGTAAATTTAAATTTAAAGGACTTGTATAATGCTACAAACTTCTTTATACTAATAATAACATTTGGGTAAATTGCTTTTTCACTAATTTTATGTGCTGGTTCTGCTGGATTATGGGAGAATAAAAATATTTTATGTAATTAACAAGTGATATACATTTAAATAGGCTTGAGCAAAGAATAGAACCCAGGTGTATTTATCATTTCATATGCAAGATCAACACAAGGACCGTTAACTTGCAGCATTTCTGTGTAGTGCAAATGCTAAAATTGGACCACTATTTTTAAAACTTGAGGCAAGGGATAGAAACCATTCTGAATATGGGAAAGGATATGCAGGATGACCAAAACCACAGAAATTTGAAGCAGCCACAACAGAATTAGCATTTTGCAGACTGGGGGATTATTTTTAAATGTCCTAAAAGGACTGTTTCATCTCTTTCAACACAAAATAAGTAAACATTCTAAAAGTGAGAATTCAATAAAATGTGAATATGTACTTACTGCTAACATAAAAGAAATTGCATTTACTGCCTTTTTCTTACTCTACAGAACTGAGCTCTTCAGATTTTTTTTAAACAGTGTGGAATGAAATAGAGGGCAATGGTGTGTGTATGTATTTAAAACTAAACGATTTAATTACATATTTAGTTAGAATCAGGCCCCAGAGTAACTGTAAGAGATAGAAATCTGTCATTTTGCAACCTACTCAATGGGAGAACAGATTTCCAAATAATAGGACTGATAAGGGGTTAATATTCAACATATATAAGCAGTTTATATAACTCAAGATCAAAAAGAGAAACAGCCCAATTAAAAAATGAAGAGAAGAACTCAATAGACATTTTTCCAAAAAGGAATTACAGGTGGTCACAGTCACATGAAAAGATGCTCAACTCCATTCCCTGATCATCAGGGAAATGAAAATCAAAACCAAAATGAGATATCACCTCACACCTGTCAGAATGGCTATCATCAAAATGACCACAGATAACAAATGTTGAAGAGAATGTGGAGAAAAGAGAACCCTCGTATGCTGTTGGTGAGAATGTAAATAGTGAATGTGTTAGTCACTCAGTTATGTTGACTCTTTGGGACTCCATGGACTGTAGCCTGCCAGGCTCCTCTGTCCGTGGGATTCTCCAGGCAAGAATACTGAAGTGGGTAGCCATCCCTTTCCGCAGGGAATCTTCCTGACCCAGGGATCAAACCTGGATCTTCCACATTGTGGGCGGGTTCTTTACCATCTGAGACACCAGGGAAGCCCACCATGGACAATAGTAGGGAGGTTGCTCAAAAAACTGAATATAGAGCTACCACAAACCCCCAAAATTCCACTCCTGAGTAATAACCAAAAACCCCCCAAAATACTTTCTGAAAGATACTTATACCTCAATGTTCCTAATAGTTTTGTTTGCAGTAGCCAAGATATGGAAGCAACCTAGGTGTCCATCAGTAGATGAATGGCTAAAGAAGATGTATGTACACATACACACACACAATGGAATACTACTCAGCTGTAAAAGAGAATGAAGTTTTGCCATATGCAGCAACCTGGATGGACTTGGAGGGCATTATGCTAAGTGAAATAAATCAGAGAAAGACAAATATTGTATGATATCACATACGTGTGGGATCTAAAAAATACAATAAACTAGTAAATATAACAACAACAAAAAAGAAATGGACTCCCAGATTTAGAGAACAAACCAGTGGTTACCAGTGGGGAAAGAGAAGGGCGAGGGGCAACACAGGGATAGGGGATTACAAGGTCCAACTATTAGGTATGGAGTAAGCGACAAGGACTTACTGTACAGCACAGGGAATATAGCTAATAGTTTATAATAACTATAATGGAGTATAACCTTTAAAAATTGTGAATCACTATATTGTATACCAACTGGAATTTAATTAAAAAAAAATGTGCTTTGGAAAGAACAACAAAACTCCTAAACAAGTTGGTTTACAGATCATGAATGACAAATACACTGTACTCTTTAGAAGGATTCACATAATTTAATATGATTTTTAAGTAATCAGTGAAAATTTTAATTCAATTATTTCAAAAAATTATATGCTTCCCCCCAAATTAGAGATGTTCAGGGATGATATTGAACCTCTTATATAAATATGTGTATAAAAAAAATTTTTCCTACTTAGCTTCAGTACTTATTTAGTTCATTTTCACTTTCTGAAATACACATTAACTCTAAAGTAATTAGGTGTGTATAAGAGGTATACATAGTTTGTCTTCACCTTTAGCTTTATATTGAAGAGTCAAACCACGAAGTCACTTTAAAAATAAGAGTTGCCTTGCTACATATCAGAAGTATTAAAAATGTAAGTAATTCTTGGGAATTCTCTGGCAGTCCAGTGACTGGGACTTGGCACTTTCACTGCTGTGGCCTGAGTTCAGTCCCTGGTTGGGGAGATAAGATCACTGCAAGACATGAGGTGTGGCCAAAAAAAAAAAAAATCAGTAATTCCTCCTTGAGATATTTATTTACAGCAATAAACATGGATATGTGCAGAGATTTATCTGTAAGACTGTTCATTGTAGCATTCATTTACAATGCAAAATAATTGGAAGCAATGCAAACACTGTGAAGCAAGGGATTTAACAAATAAGTTATTATGTGGCCACTAAATATTATGTTGATACATATAATATATTAGCACAAAAAATTATGCTCACATTTTCACACCTCAATAAAGGTACAGGTGCATTTGAAATGCAGACCAGAAAGATGTAGATGACAAAAAGTACTAGTTGATATTTCTGGACAGTAGGCTTGTGGATAAGTTACATTTCTGATTTGGGCATTTGTTACCAATTATTTCTACAATGACTATTACATACCTGCTTTTCTTACAATCCAGTTTTACATCAGTTTTCCTTGTTTTGGTTTTAGTTTGTTTCTCCTGCTTGGAATAAGAAAGGCCCCACTGATCTGGGAAAGACCTTGCACAAGGAAAGGGAGAGGAGGTGGCAGTGGTTGAATAACGTAAAGTTGAACGTTTGAGCCACAAGCTCCATCCCAAAATCATCAGCCTCTAACTTACTGTATTCTTTTTTGGACATGATTCACGTCCTAAAATTTTACTTTTCGACCACATCCTGAGTATTTTTAAATGCTATACTTTTCTCAGCTTGAAATGCTTATTTTACTGAAACAGTGAAGTCAAATGGAAAGGAAAATTATACAAGCCATTGAGAAATGCCTTTGCTTTGGAAAAGCACAGGGTGTGAAAAACCAGTGTTTCTTCCCTTTACTGAATCTCAGTTATTGTCTGGCTGATCTATGTTGGGAAAGAGTGTTACCAGGAAATCTTTTCCTATTTGTTCCTTTTCAGCCTTACCTCTCAGGAGGTTTCTTCCAGATGCTTTACTGCCTGTGTCCTCTGTTCTTGTTTAGATAAATGTTTTCAAAGGGCTCATGTTCTTTTTTCTCACATTGCTTTTTCCAGATATAAAGACCTGAAGGTAGTCTTTCCTATTCAGAGATGGAGAACAGTACCACCACCATTTCTCGGGAGGAGCTGGAAGAACTACAAGAAGCCTTTAATAAAATAGGTATGCTTGAGAAAAACTAAATACACAGTTACTATTCTGCTGGATACCAGCATTCCAGGAATGGAACAATGCCTTCTATTGCTCCTACTGCCCTCTAGCCCCCAGATGTATTCCCTTTTTCTTTTGTGTCCCATCTGGGTTTCACTGGATTCTTTCTTTCTTTCTTTCTAAAAGATAAACTAAGACTGGCTTGAATTTCTGGGAGAATTGGACTTTGAATTCTTTGATCATTTCTTTGCAAAGAATACTCCAGGTTAATGAATGACAGAGTAACTGAATATGCTTAATGTGATATCCTCATTACAGAGAAAAAAATATGGGAACACTTCCTTGTGTGTAAACTGAACTCTGGCCTCCGTGTATTTGTCATGAATAATAACACATTCTGACTTCATGCAGAGTATTTTAAAAGCTTGATATGATTTTCAAAGACCATATGTCTTTTATTTTCCTCTTCCCTTGTGCATAATTTTTTTAAAAAGGATTGTTTTTAAAGGCTGCATGCCTTGTACTTCTTCTTTCACTTTTATTTATTTATTTATTCTTCTTTCACTTTAAAAGCCATCCAGTGTTTTGTCTTTATGATGTCATTTTGACAGTTTGGTCTTTTTCTTCCAAAAAACTCTCCCATCCTCTGATGGATCGTAATTCTTCTGCATTTTGCTCGTAGACCTGTAGCAAACCAAGACAGTGTTGATACCATCTTTTGCTGTAGTCTGCAAAAGTGGTAAAAGATGAGCACAGTAAATAGACATGGAAACAGTGACACCCCCAAAGTTGCTCCTGCCTCAGTGGGCTCCTGCCTTGGTGCGTTAGAGCACTCCTCAAAAAACAGAGTCAGACCAGGGAGGATGGGGTGTTCACAGTTGGTCTTGGGCCTCAGTTTCTCTTAAACTTAGTGAATAATGTCTAAAATTAATGTAGATGAAATGTAGTACAGAAGTTTTAGAAACCAAGATAAAGAAAGGAAGATTTAACTTAAAAAAAAAAAAAGCAAAAGTAATGCTTTCTGGAAGCTCATGGCTTACAAAACTGTGCTGTGAAATAAAGTGAATTCTGCAAATCTCTGGGCCTTTCCACTTCTCCTTGCTTAGCTGTTTAGAGAGTAACTCAGACCTTGAGAATACAGTCCGCATGTGGCCGCCTTTGGCTCATAATGAATTCCTTAACCTTGATCTTTTCTTTATTCTAATGGGCTTCCTTGGTGGCTCAGACAGTAATGCGTCTGCCTGCAATGTGAAAGACTTGGGTTCAATCCCTGGGTTGGGAAGATCCCCTGGAGAAGGAAATGGCAACCCACTCCAGTACTCTTGCCTGGAAAATTCCATGGACCGAGGAGCCTGGTAGGCTACAATCCACGCGGTTGCAAAGAGTCGGACACAACTGAATGACTTCACTTTCACTTTCTTTGTTTTGCCCATGCTAGAGCACTGTATGACTGTGATGTGATTTCTAAAACGTTATTGTTAAAAATACATTTTGGGCTTCCCTGGTGGAGCAGTGGTTAGGAACCTGCCTGGCAATGTAAGAGACATGGGTTTGATCCTTAATCCAGGAAGATTTCATATACTGCTGAGCAACTAAGCCCAGGAGCCACAACTACTGAGCCCATGTGCCACAAGTACTGAAGCCCACACAGCCTAGAGCCCGTTCTCTTCAATTAGAGTGTAGCTCCCGCTTAACTGCAACTAGAGAAAAAGTCCCAGCAGCAATGAAGACCCATCACAACCAAAAATAAACTAAATCAGTAAAATTAAAAAAAAATTTTATGGAACATTGTATGCAGCACACAGAGTCATTTCAAGAAAAAAAAAAAAAAACAACTGGGAGCAATGTTGGAATATTCTGCTAATTCAGAGCACTGAAAGACAGGAAGTAGTGAAAACATAGCTCCAGAACTTCCCTGGTGGTCCAGTGGTTAGGACTCTGTGCTTCCACTACAGGGGGCCTGGGTTCCATCCTTGGTCAGGGAACTGAGATCCTGCAGGGTTTGTAGCACAGCCAAAAAACAAAACAAACCCTGCCCCCCATCCCCCCATATCTCCTAGTCTGGTCGTTTTTGTTATGTTATAGGAGCAGTTTGGCAGCTTGAATAAAAATGCTACCTTGGTCCTAGTAAAATAAATTAGTAGTCTGTTTTCTTTCACACACCAGCTTTAATCTTTGTAACTCATGGATGTATAATCTTACAATATTTATTTAATGGTATTTTTGATAAATCATTGATGAAACAATTCTGACAGCAAGGTAATTTGTTCTGTGTGAGGGAAATTCTAATACTAGCAGAATATATACTTCCCTACTTTATTTACAAGATAAATTGCTACTCATGGACTCTGTAAACTTCTGCTAATTTGTCCCAAACAGCTTTTCTCAGAGACGGAGAAACATGCCCATCTAACCTTGCTAGATGGGATATATTTTTTGGGTCTCTAGGGAAAAGTGAGAAGTTAAAATATTTGTCCTGTTTTTCTGCAATTGTGGTAAAATACACATAACATAAAATTTACCATTTTAACAATGTTTTCAAATGTACAGTTTGTTGACTAAAAAAAAATTGCACAGTGTGAAAGTTGCAAGTTATGTTTTACTTAATGAGGACTGCAGCCTGAGAGACAGCACCACAGATGGCTCTGAGAAACTGCTCCAGAGAGGCAGCGGGGAAGGTCAATATATGTGATTTTGGTGAAGGGAGAGGTCTTTTAATCAAGCACTTATCTTTACAGAAGATTTTCTGTTAGTCATGAGAAGCTGATGTTACCTTGAAAGAATTTAGTGCTTTTCTAAATATGAGGAGGTGCAAGGATTGGGCTTATAAAATCAGTTCCCGAAAATATCTAACTAACTGTTAGGAAGACCTGTGCCACAAGTTTCCCTGGAGCAGAGAGTGCCTCATTTCTGCTCTCCATCCTGAACTCCCTTCAGGGCGTGTGGAGACAGGATTCACTCCTGGTTGAGGCAGATGGCAAATGCCCTTGGCAAGCACCAATGTAGTAGACAAGTTTATTGACATTAAGTATATTCACCTTGTTATGCAACCTTCACCACCATCTATTTCTAGAACCTTTTCATTTTCCCAAACTGAAACTGTACTGTTAAAGACTAACTCCTCAACAATCCACCTTCCCCCAACCCCCGTCCTCTGGGGCTACCGCCATTCTACTTTCTGTCTGTGTGAATTTGGTTACACTAGGTAACGTATATAAGTGGAATCATATAATATTTGTTTTTCTGTGACTGGCCTATTTCATGTAGCGTGATGTCTTGAAGATTCATCTGTGTTGTGACATGTGTCAGAATTGCCTTACTTTTTAAGACTGAGTAACATTTCATTGTTTCTACTAAATTTTGTTTATCCATTCCTCTGTTGACAGGCTTCTGAGTTGTTTCTACCTTTTGGCTTTTGTGAGTAATGTTGCCGTGAACATGGGTATTTCAAATATTTGTTCAAGTCTTTCTCCTCAGTTATTTTTGGCATATACTCAGAAGTGAAATTGCTGAATCATTTACATTTGTTTAATTTTTTGAGGAACTAACAAATAGTTTTCAATTGTGGTTGTACCATTTTGCATTCCTACCAGCAATGCACAAGGGTTTCAATTTCTTCAAATTATGCCAATGATTGTTACTTTCTGTTTTTGTTTGTTTTTACAATAGCTATTCTCGTGAATATAAAATATCTCATTGTGGTTTTGATTTGCATTTCCCTAATGATTAGTGATGTTGAATATCTTTTTATGTGCTTATTGGCTGTTTGTATGTCTTCTTTGGAGAAATGTCTATTCACGTCCTTTGCCCATTTTAAAATCAGGTTGTGTGTTGTTTTGTTGCAGAGTTGTAGAAAAGTCTTATTTCTTTTTAAACTGTGACTTTATGGCTATTTAACCTAAGCCTTGACTACCTCATCTTTAAAATTAGAATGTTATTATTAACTACCTCAAAGTTGTTGGATGGATTTCATTAGACAAGTTCTTTTTTTTAAAAAAAGATTATCATTTATTTTTGGTTGTGCTGTGTCTTTGTTGCTGCATGAGCTTTTCTCTAGTTGTGACGATTGGGGGCTACTCCCTAGTTGCAGTGGCTTCTCTTGTTGCAGAGCATGGGTTCTAGAGCATAGGCTCAGAAGTTGTGCACGGGCTTAGGTGCTCTTCAGCATGTGGCATCTTCCCAGATCAGGGGTCAAACCTGTGTCTCCTGCATTGGCAGGTGGATTCTTTACCACTGAACCACCAGGGAAGCCCTCAAGTTCTTAACAAATCACTTGACCCAGAATATGTGCTCATTAAGTGGTATCTATTATTTCTTGTTACATCATACCCAAACCACAGAGGTTGTAAGGAAGGAGCTGGCATTTAAGCACACAGATGTGTCCATCTTCAGAGCCCAACTCTTAATTTAGTTTAGTGTGATGGTTAGCACATAACTTTTTCATGATCTTGTTTAAATACTCCTCGCCACAGTGCTGTTAGGCAGTGAGTCTGCCTCGTCTATTTGTCTATTTCAGAATTATAGGAAGCAATTCTGAACTGGTGATGTACTAAGTAATGAGATTTTACTCTAAATTCAAAGAAAGCAATTGTTGCAATATCATGCAATTTAGCTTCCTTTAGAGATCACAACATTATTTTGGTTCTTGGAAGATTCTAGTTTAGAAAATTTTCACCATTCTGAACAGTATTAATTCTAAAACTTGTGTTTGAGAGTTTAAAAGAAAGGTTTCTGTCTTATCATTCATTCAGTTAATAGTGATGACAGCTCTTTTACTGAGAGGAAAAAGAGACATAGGAAGCAAAGTAACTACTACCAGATGAGTGAAGAGAGCCAATACAAGGTGGATCCAGGCAACTAACCAATCAATCCTAAGCCCTGTTGCCAACTCTGGCCATGAGTGTTTAATGTTGATTTTCTTTTGTGTCAAGAATTGATAATCCAGTCTCTCAGGAAAACCCAGGGAAGGTTATATCAGTGATAATATGAAAACGCCCAGAAACCTATTTCCCTAAGTCCAAATGTAGGTGTGAAATTATTTCTTGAACACTTAATCTCAAAATGACATCAAACATGATTCAGCCTACATAATGGTATCATAAATACATGATGAAGAGGCAATGAATTATTGACAAGTGAAACAGAACTGCCACCAAGTGATATGTAGAACAGAAGTGCCTTATGTGCATTTTACATGATGCACGAATTTTGTATGGAAGGTGGGGCCAGCAGATCCATTTGGTAAGTTCCATGAAGAAGTCAAAGTCTGGGTGGGTGTTCCTCTATAACTGTTGCTGCTGTATTTCCCTTAGATATCTGAGATCTCCCCATTCTTAATTCTTTGAAATTTAGTCATGTGCCAAACTTGAGTTTTTCATCTGTCAGTGCAATGTTCTTATTACACACTTAAAATATATATGCTAACCCTGAGTCTATGGATGGGGGGTAAAGTTCATTAAGAATCTGCCCACAATGCAGGAGACTCGGGTTCGATCCCTGGGTTGAGAATATCCTCTGGAAGGGAATGGCTACCCACTCCAGTAATCTTGCCTGGGAAATCCCATGGACAGAGGAGACTGGCAGGCTATAGTCCATGGGTTCGCAGAGTCGTACAGGACTGAGCGACTAACACTTTCGCTTTCAAAGTTCATGAAATATGAGTTTTTTTGATAAAGTATATAGCTTACCTTGTACAATTTAGGTGCAGGAGAAAAGGTTACTGCCAATTATGAAACAAACCTGGAAGGTTCTGCCTGCCCATGAATCTCCCAAGCAGCCTTCAGAGTGCACATCTCCAACAGAGTATAAATAAGATCTGATCTCTCATAATTTATCTTTTTAGATATTGACAACAGTGGGTATGTCAGTGACTATGAACTCCAGGACCTGTTTAAGGAAGCAAGCCTTCCTCTGCCTGGCTACAAGGTGCGTGAGATCGTGGAGAAAATTCTAGCAGTTGCTGACAACAACAAAGATAGCAGAATCAGCTTCGAAGAGTTTGTGTCGGTAAGTGATCTAAATCCTCTCCTTTGCTACTATGGGTTTGCTTCGAGCAGAATTTTAGTAATGTCATTGCTTTCTTTGGTTGAAGCTGGCTTCACAAACCAGAAAAAGCACTGCTTTTAAATGATGATGATGGTAACAATAACAGCAATTTCCACAAATAATTCATAAAGCAAAGGAAAAATTATTCTTAAATTGTTGGAATTGAAATTAGGTTTAGATAATAATCATTTATCCTGTAGTAAAACTACAGTTGAGTTTAAATGCTTATTGGCTGTCTCTGTAAGCAAAGTATTTTCATATCTTAGTACTTAGTCCTGAGAAGTGAAATATTTTTGTAATTGAAATAGCTAAGATTCGGAAGATATACCTCCTAGAAACTGGTTATTTTCTTGTGATAAGTTATATGTTCAGTTTCTGTAAATGCCACCCGGTGAATATTGATACCAGCTATGGGTTCATTATTAAACTACCTGGAGACTCAGGGAACTGAACAAGATTCAGAAAAATATATGACTCCACCAATAAAAGAAAGATAGAACTGAATATTGAGTATCATGTATTTTAAACCTCTCAGGCTGAGAGCGATGACTAAGTTGCCATTGCCAGCTGACAGTTGAGCAAGGGCTGTCACTACCTTCTATCAACAGCACCATGACTGTGCTTTTTGTACAAAAATTAATGAAATAGTTTATTCACTAATACAAGTGAACAGATATTTATGAAATAGTAATTGTCTGCTTTTACATTCTTTGTTCATTGATCTCCTTTCATACCAGGAACTCTGGTATTATGAGTAATGTGATGAACAAAAAGAGATGTAGTCCCAGCTTTAATGAAGTTTGTAGGTGGAGGGGAAGACAGAATCTCACAGATAGGTAAAAGATAACTGATAGATGCTCTGACAGAGCAAGACAGGTCACTTGAAAGTTTGTGTAGGAGGAATTGAACTTGGTGGGGAGATTAGAGAACGCAGAGATTCAGTGAAATGGAACTATCTCCAATTCTGTGAAGACTGAATTGCTGTCTGAAGGAAGATGTTAAACAGATAAAAAGAGTGGGTGGGGCAAATAAGTAATGTGCAAGATTGGCTGAGGTGATGGCATGTGTAGAGGCTCTGTGACTTTAGGGGTAGTAGATGCTCTCAAGCACTTGGGGGAAAAAGCATCCTTGTGGTTGGAGCTGAAATGTTGAGGGTTAGGAATGTGTTTAGCCAAGTGAGTGAGGGACAGATAATCAGGCCCTTGTAGAATTTTTTGTTTTTATCTAAAAGCAACAGGAAACCATTGATGTGGGAAGAATAGAGTGTGAACTGACATGATCAGATATGCATTGTTTAAAACTCACTCTGGCTGTTGCATGGAGAATGGATTGAATTCAGTTTAGCCAGGCTCTAGAGTGGCCAGTGACAGGAACTGGCAGAGGGCACTTGTTGAAGCCTGTGTAATTTCCTACAAACGCTGACTTCTTGACTTTAACATGTACATTGAAGCTGTTCAGATTGAAAAATATCTCATTAAGACATTTAAAAATCTTTATCATGTACTTAGTTATTCTTTAGTTGTTAGTACAAGAGATCACGGCAAGTCTAGATGAACAATTTCAATGTGTACAATTTGAGCTTAATTATAGGTTGTGGTGCAAACATTTTTCCATTTCGTGTTATTATAAGATGACATGAGGGTTATCTGCCTACACAAGCAATAAATGCAAGAACAACTGATTCGTATTTAATTTTATGTCATTCCAAATAAATAACTATCTTTTACACAGCAAGGATTTTAATGGCTATCTTGTAATCAAGGGTCAATTTTACTTCTCTCCCATACCAGCTAATGCAAGAGTTAAAAAGCAAAGACATCAGCAAAACATTCAGAAAAATAATTAACAAGAGGGAAGGGATTACTGCTATTGGAGGAACTTCATCCATTTCCAGTGAGGGCACACAGCATTCTTATTCAGGTAACCAACCACCTGCTCCAAATTTAATCTTTCAGTCATTGGTTCATTCAACAAGTCCTGTATTTCACAGGATCTAAGATGCCATTTATTGTAATTTACACTATTGTTTTATATACCATTGTTTTATAATGAGACTAAATTATAATGTGCCATTAGATTTGAAATGTATCATAATTTCAAAAGTGTCAGAATGAAAAATCCTGGAATTATTTAAGATAGATAATAGTAAGTGAATGTTTACTGTGTGTTAGGCACAGTGGACAAGAGATTAGAAACAGCAAAATAGGAGTTGTTTATATCTTCAGCATTGAATGTGTTTAATCATGACCTTGGGATGGATTTTTCTTCCTGACTGGTGATATGAGTTTAGTTTAGACCTATAATTTTAGGAATGGTGGAGAGGTTTATTAGAAGGACTTTCCATTTTGGAGCAGTTGAGATTCCTGATTCATCTTTTATCAAGCAACCCAGTAACTAGTAGGGCACAGCACTTGGTTTGCTTGTCTGATAGAATCACTGGACTATTGCCCAGTGGGAGATACAGAGTCACATGAATTCCTAAGAGGAGACAGCTTGCCCCATGCTAAGGTTGCTTCTCAGGATCAAGATGCCTAAAAACCTTTGGCCAAGTTCTTTTTGTTCATGTTAACATAATTAGAACTATACTCTTGGAATTTTTTAAATAAAAACTCACTTTAACTATACTCTTGGAATTTTTTAAATAAAAACTCACTTTAACTTTTCCCTCTTTCTTTCTTTGAGATCTGAATCTGTTAATATCCTCTTGATTCTTTTGTTTCTAAATGGATTTTCCTCTAATAATACACTCACACTTCTACTCACTGTATATATTTTCCTAACTTTTTCCCACCAAGGAAGTGCAGTGGTGAAGGCAGTGTTCTATAACTCCTACCTCCTTTTTTGAAAGGTACTTACTCTTTAGCTCTGTTTCTGCCTGTCCATTCTAAGGAATGGCATCTTCATTTTTTATTAAGGTATAATATGCCATTTAGCGAATTGCTGCAATTGTTATGTGTATAGTTCAATGAGTTTTCACATGTGTACGCATCTTGTAGCTACATTCATGCAGCTGCCAAGTAGATTAACATATAGCATTTCCTTCACCAGGATTGTTTCTAGATTATTTAAATCTAATAATATGTAAATTATTATAATACATAAATACAAAAATTCTATGAAAGTAAATGTGCACCATTTTGAGCATTTTATATTACAAAGATTTTCTTGCTTAAAGGACTTTAAATAAAGTAAAATCAGATTTTTTCCCTTAAATTGAAGGAAAAAGAGAAAGTGAGGAAAGGGAGGAAGAGAAGAAGTGAGAGGTTCTGGGCTTGTAGAGCTACGTGAAGGACAGGAGTAATTTTTCCATTGATTTAAAACAATTCTTTTTGATCTTGTTGGTTCTAGCAGTCATTACTGATTATAAAGGTAACCCAAATGAATGAACCTGTAACCAGTTCACAGATATGGTCATTTAAAAATTTTAAATTCAGTTTAAGATTAAAAAAATTCGCCGATTTCTTCCACTCTCCATCACCCCTTGGTTCTTGTAATCACCAGTCTGCTCTCTGTATCTATGGCTTCAGTTCTGTTTTCCAGATTCTACATTAAAAAAATGAGATCATACAGCAAAATACACATATAAGTGTGTGTATATATATAACATATATGTATATATGTTTTATATATGTAATAAACATACATTACACATATAAAACATATACATATGTATGTATGCAAAGCATATGTATATATAAATCATTAACATTTCCTTCACCCTGAGTGGCTCCCTCATGCCTCTAGCCATAACTGTTTACTTTTCTGATGTCTATCACAATAGATTTTTTTTTTACTTGTTTATTGAGGTATAAGATGTACAGAGTAAAGTGCATACAGTGCCCTATTGTTAAGTATATGTCTTGATGATTTTTTTTTACATATGAATACACCCACATAACCATTATTTAGAACCCAACACAGAACATTTAGGGGCTTCCCAGGTGCACTAATGGTAAAGAACTTGCCAGCCAATGCAGGAGATATAAGAGACTTGGATTCAATCCCTGGGTAAGGAAGATCGCCTGGAGGAGGTCAGGGCAACCCACTCCATATTCTTGCCTGGAGAATCCCATGGACAGAGGCGCCTGGTGGGCCATAGTCCATAGAGTTGCAAAGAGTCGGACACAACCGAAGTGACTTTTTACACATGCACAGAACATTTAACTGCTTTTAAGAAAAGAACAACTTTGTTGAGACATAATTGAAATACCATGACTCTTTGAAAGTACAATTAAGTAGTTTTTAGTATATTCACAGAATTGTAGTATATCAGCACCATGTAATTTTAGGATACTTTCATTATCCCAAAGGGAAACCCCATGATTGTTAGCAATCACTACCCATTTCCCCCTTCCCCCAGCCTTGAGTGACCATTAATCTACTTTTTATTTCCATAGATTTGCCTATTCTGGAAATCTTATACGAATGGAATTATACAGTAATGGCTTTTCACTTGACAGGCTTCTTCCCTAGCAGAATATTTTTGAGGGTCATTCATGTTGTGGCATGTATTGTACATCATTCTTTTTTATGGCTGAATCATTTCTGTTCTGTTGCTAATATCATGTTTTGTTTATCCTTTCATTGGCTGATAGACATTTGAGTTGTTTCCACTTTTTGGCTATCATGAATAATACTGTGTGAACACTTGTGTCCACATTTTAGTGTGGACATATGCTTTGAATTCTCTAAGGTATATACCCAGGGATGGTCATTTGTTAACTCTATGTTTAACATTTTAAAGAACTACCAACTGTTTTCCAAAATGGCCACACCATTTACATTCCCACAAGCAATGTATGAAAGTTCCAATTTCTTCCCATTCTTGACGACATTGGTTATTGTCAGTTTTGTTTATTACAACCATCCAGGCATTGTGAAGTGATATCTCATTCCTGTTTCCTATCAGTTCAGCTCAGTTCAGTTGCTCAGTCATGTCCGACTCTTTGTGACCCCATGAACTGCAGCACACCAGGCCTCCCTGTCTATCACCAACTCCCTGAGTTGACTCAAACTCATGTCCATTGAGTCCGTGATGCCTTCCAACCCTCTCATCCCCAGTTGTCCCCTTCTCCCGCCTTCAATTTTTCCCAGAATCAGGGTCTTTTCTAATGAGTCAGTTCTTCGCATCAGGTGGCCAAAATATTGGAGTTTCAGCTTCAGCATCAGTCCTTCCAATGAATATTCAGGGCTGATTTCCTTTAGGATGGACTGGTTGGATCTCCTTGCAGTCCAAGGGACTCTCAAGAGTCTTCTCTAACATCACAGTTCAAAAGCATCAATTCTTTGGTGCTCAGCTTTCTTCATAGTCCAGCTATAAAGAAATAATAATTTCTTTCCCTTTTCCTGCCCATTTTTCATACCTATTAAAAATGTATCTTTTAAATAGTTCCTTCTCCATAAATAGCCTTTTGTTGATCAACCTGATGAGAAATTATTCTTTCTTTAAATTCTTTGAAACATTGCTTGTATCTCTCTTGTGGTATGTTCATTTATTGCATTTCTTCATATATCTGTTTTATCATTACCCTAAAAATTCCTTGATGGGAGTTATAACATCTTAGTGATCTTTAAATCCATTGATTCTAAGTCCGTAAGGAGGTATGTATAGTGAGGCAAGAAGAAGGCAGATAATGATCTGTACAAAAGTAAATATTTATGTCTTTATTGATTGTTTGTGATAGATTACATTTTGAGAGTACCTGCCAAATATGCCTTTAGGAAAGTTACCTAGTTCTAGGAATCAGGGCAATATAGAGGAAGTCCAGCTACCCTGTGATAGAAATGGGCATTATTTTCTTTTAGATTTTGTTAAATCATTTTTATGCTTACAGAATAATAATAAAGCAATAGAACATTTTTCCTTTAAGTTCCTTCCTACTTTCTTCACTGCATAGCCCACCAGTATTTTTCTGCCTAAAGATAAATATTCCCATGCTAGAAGCCACAGCTTGAGAAGTTGAGGATGAAGATGGCTGATAGTCATACTGGTATTTAGATGTGTCAGTTTCCTTATAATAGAAATTCCACAGAAATGGAGCTATTTTATTTATTCAAATAACTCAATTAAAATTATTATTTCTGTTGTAAGTTGCAAATCACAACTTTATGAAAAATTTTTTTGTGGGGGAGGTGGAATTGATTGATGTGGTTATTTGTTTCTTACATTTTCCTCTTGGCGTGTGTGTGTGTGCATGTGCATGATCTGACCTCTGATGTTTGGCTCTTGATCCATTAATTCTCAGAAGAAATATATGTGAAAAGTTTTAGAATCAAACTGAGTATTTATTGTGCTCATTTAAGCTATATGCCTTCCTTGTCCCTAATATATTGATGAAAAAGTGGAATGAATTCCTCTTTCTCCTTAAACCTAAGCCCTCTTACATCCTTTAGTGTTTTGGTAGAGTTTCTAAAATTGGCATTTATTATTTTTGAACAGAAATTTAAAAGTATATTTTCGTAGTGCATTAGGTGAAATGAGGTATGCCAACTAAGATTTTCTGTTTTCAGAGGAAGAAAAAGTGGCTTTTGTTAACTGGATAAACAAAGCCCTGGAGAATGACCCTGACTGTAAGCACCTCATACCGATGAACCCCAGTGATGGCAGTCTTTTCAAATCACTTGCTGATGGCATCCTTCTTTGGTGAGTTGAGCACTGGGTTAAGGGAGCTGTGTTTTTACTGTCTCCACTGAAGAGTAGTCAGTGAAAACTACAATTCAGTGAGTCCATTGTTTTTTGAAATTAGTTAACAAGTAGTATACAGTTCTTGAAGTTTTTATATTGCATAGACAATTAAGTACAATATGTTTTCCAATATTTTCCTTCAAATGCAATCTCTTATTTGGTATCTTTTTCATTTATTTTCTTAATTATACCAGGAAACCTTTACCTCTCCGATGCACTTAATAATGTTCAAAGGGTTTCTTTTTTCTTTTTTTTTTGGCTGCATGTGGCACGTGGGATCTTAGTTCCCTGACCAGAGACTGAACCCGGGCCACAGCAGTGAAAGCTCTGAGTCCAAACCACTGGACTGCCAAGAAATTCCCCAGAATTTTTTTTTTCCCACTTATCAATAAGGGAGTATTGATCATTTACTAGGACTGAAACTTGAGGAACTATAATAGAAATATATATCTCATTTGTGCTTAAATCAGATTAATATTTTAATTCAGTCTTGCATTCATGGCTCTTGGCAATCTGCTTCTGCTTACTAGACTGTAAACTCTCTAAAGGATTATCTTTTTGGTTGTGTATACTTAAGTCCCAGCATACTTCTTTGTAAAAACTAGATGTCTTTAATTTTTTAAGTTTATAAAAATCCAGAAAACATTCAAAGAAGAAAATAACCACCATGAATATTAACAGCCATAAAAAGCTATTATTGATATTTTGGCACATTTCCTCAGTCTTTTTTCTGTGTATTTATTTAAAAAGAAAAAACTACCCACAATTATGGGATATTAGTTTTCAAGACATTATATCTAAAATATATCTTATTCCACCTACAATTCAGATCTCTTCCTCTAACCTTCAGAGGAAATTCCTATTATGAATTGAATGGGTGTTTTCTTATCTGCGTTTCATAATATAAAATGTATTCTAAAACAGAGAAGTAAAATTTATATTAGTTTCTTTTAAAATGTGTGAATTATTGAAATTTTTGGTCAGGTCTCTGCTCTTTATTTTTCTGCAACAACAGTAATTTTAACACTGTTGATACCACTTTATGAAATTTGACTTCTTGAGGATTTTTTGTTTTATATTTCAGGCTGCTGAATGTCAATGATCATTAAATGAAATAAAGGCAAGATTCACATAAAGATAATGCAAGACTTTGAAAAAATTAGAAAGAAATGCTAAGATTACTATTACAATGAATGATGAATTTGATTTAGATTAGGGAATATTTCTTAGATTTTTAAAATTAAATCCCTGAGATGAAGTATGTTTTAAAGAAAGGGATTATTACTTTTCAAAATTTAACTTTATTGTTTACTTACAAAAATCAACTAAAAACATTTTTGAGTGTCTTAAACTGATTTATTCCCATTTTCTCTTTAGCAAAATGATCAACTTGTCTGAACCAGATACAATTGATGAAAGAGCCATTAATAAGAAAAAGCTCACCCCCTTCACTATTTCTGTAAGTATTTGTCCTTTGCTGGTAATCATCTTGTAAGGTGATAAGGATCATGGATCCCTTATGAATTGATCTTTAGGTCCAGGCAAAACCATTCATTTAACATACTTTTGGTTTCCTATAAAAGCTAGATTTTTACTAAGTAAAAATTCAGCTGAATTTTTTAATGAAGAAATTAAGATTCAGACTATGTTGGATGAAATTTCTTAAGAAAATAGTATTCAGATTAAGTTATTGTGATTATTGTTATTTTTATTAATGAATATTTGCTTGATGCTAGTGTTCTTGTTGGTTGAGATAAGAATACTCCATAGTTTAATACATCTTTTACCATTGCACAAAATTTTAACCATTTTTTTGTACCAAACTGTTTGGTAGTCAGTTTCTCCATTCAGATCTTGTTAAAATTCAGGAATTTATAGTCACCACAGTTTTCCCCTTAAAATCTCTGGCTCAATAGGAGAATATTATAGTAAGTACATTTTAGGTATCAGACACTGTCCTAAACACACCACATTAATTACCATGTGACTTCTCCCAGCAGCCTTAAAATAAAGTAGATTCTCTGATTTTACAGATGAAGAAACCGAGGCACTGAGAGGTTACACACTGGATGAGCCATGATCCCAGTAGTCTCGCTCCAGAGCCCATCCTTTAAGGAGTTTTGTTACATGTATTTAATTTTTTTTTTTGGCTGCATGTGTGGGATCTCAGTTCCCAGACCAGGGATTGGAACCCTTTTCCCCTGAGTGGAAGTGCAGAGTCTTAACCTCTGGACGGCCAGGGAAGTCCTTGTATCCATCCGTTTAATCATCATGCTATACTGCCACTCTGCTGTGGTGGTGGCAATAAGCGACTAGTTAATGTGTAAATCACAGCTGTAGCTATTAGAAATGAGCTACTGCTAAGCTGTTTCCTTCATTTCTATTGGCAGGGTATAATTCTTGATTTTGCTAAGGTTGTTAAGTCTCTTCTATAAGAAAGCTACATCCTTTAGAGCAGTGGTACCTGGTTAGTCTCAGACTAAGGGGTCCTCCCATTTCCTGTTATCCTGAAGAAGTGTATAATTGTCTGTTGACTAACACGGCTTTCTTGACCCTCACTTTCCAGTAACATTTCATGTTCCTAGCAGAAACTACTATTCTTGAAGAAGCTCCTTTCTGATTGTAATGGCCAGAAGTTTCTTTTCTTTCTCAACTTGTGTAAGATGTGAAAGAAATACCTACCATCTAATACCTATCATTGTTGAAAATACTCATATTTATCTTTTTAGGATACATGTCACACAATTTTTTATGTTCCTGAAATGCAACATCTCTTACTATTGTATAAATTAATTTTTAATTAATTTATCAAAAATTTAAATATTGCTTCTAATACTTCCATGCCATGCATTTGGAGAAAATAAAGAAAAAATGTCCTACAACTATTTTGCAATAACTATAGGATCCATCTGAGGGGCTAAGTGTTTTATATTTCTATTTTTAAAGGTAACATTCTTCCACCAGTATGAGTAGTGTTAATAGTCTAGGTCTCTAGGATGCTTTAAAAAGAGTACTAATGTAGAATGAGAAAAGACAGTCCACTGGGAAGAGGCAAAGTGTTACTGTGATTATTAAATCAGTTTTGTTTCCTCAGTAATTTTAGAGGTCTGGGAATAGATCTGCCAGAAAGCTACCAGTTTCCCATGAAACTTTATCTCGAAGAAGCCTAATTCATTTGTAAAAGATTGTGATAGTATAGTTTTTCACCTCAAGATGATAGGTTTATGAAGTATCAAGATGTATGAAAGAAGAGAAATATAAAAGGATGAAAATGATATACAGTGACTGTGAAAGCAAGGGAAAGGGACAGATCAAGTAGCTAATAGCAGAATTCATTTATGATTTTGGAGACTGTTGTCTCTCTTCCTACCCAGTGTGTTACAGGGCTACATTCTTTGGATTGTTTATCATTAGTGGAAAAAATAATTATGTAAAAGTCTGAAAAATAGATGTCAATGATTTAAGGACTTAAAAGTCAGGAAGCTAATGCAAGAGTAGGTTAGGGTTAGGGTTATACTTCACCCTTACATATGTATACAAATGTAAAAACACATGTATAGTCTTCATTTCAATTATAGTTTAAGTAGGGAAAACATAAATCTCATTTGTATGTTGCAAATGGAGTAAAAGTGATGGTATGTAAATAAGAATGAAATCTGAATAACAAGTAATGCCTTTGACCTTACTGACCCAATAAGTGTATAACAGAGCCCTCTAAAAAATGATTAACAAAAGTGGACTTATCTGGAATTGAAGCCTTATTGGAAATGGAAGTTTGCAAGGTGGAATGAATGAAAAGAAAGAAAAGTTGCAGTCCCTATTTGAGACTGTTAAAACTGCCATGTTTACTTGAGTCTTTTGTTAATATCTCTATGAGGTAAGATGCCCTATTGTACAGGTTAAGACACTGAAACACAAGGAGGAACAAGCACTTTCTAATGTCTCAGCTCTTGGAGGTTTCCTAGTGTCCCTGTCTATCCCCATCAACACAGGTCTTCAGGAAGAAAGGCTGAGCGTGAGGGGCAGTTGTCCATGACAGAACTTGGAGAACAACCTCTGTGTGGGATTTTCCTATTACTTCTCATTCTTCAGAATTGTCTTGAGACAATAGCGGTCATTCTAGTCCCTCATCACCAGTAGGGCAATATTGTATTTCAGTTCAGTCAGTCAGTTCAGTTACTCAGTCGTGTCTGACTCTTTGCAACCCTGTGGACTGCAGCACACCAGGCTTCCCTGTCCATCACCAACTTCTGGAGCTTGCTCAAACTTATGTCTATCGAGTTGGTGATGCCATCCAACCATCTCATCCTCTGTTGTCCCCTTCTCCTCCTGCCCTCAATCTTTCCCAACATCAGGGTCTTTCCAGTGAGTCAGCTCTTCTCATCAGGTGGCCAAAGTATTGGAGTTTCAGCTTCAGCATCAGTCCTTCCAATGAATATTCAGGACTGATTTCCTTTAGGATGGACTGGTTGGATCTCCTTGCAGTCCAAGGGACTCTCAAGAGTCTTCTCCAACATCACAGTTCAAAAGCATCAATTCTTTGGTGCTCAGCTTTCTTTATGGTCCAACTCTCACATCCATACATGACTACTGGAAAAACCATAGCTTTGACTATATGGACCATTGTTGGTATTGTATTTACCAATTAGAAACTACCATTTATTTGAAGAAGCACATTTTCACTCCATTTTTTGCCAATTACTTGTAAGTCATTTGCAATACTTGTAAAACCAACATCTCTGAGTAAAATTAATATCAAAAGCTGGTTTTCCACATGTCACTAACATAACCTGTAGATATGACAAAGCTGAGTTTCACTGCTTACAGGAGTGAGAGAAAACACCACCTGCAAGCCCATGGCAGTGTCTTTAGGCTGAGGCTGGAACTAGAGATTTGGAATTGTGGTTGAAGGTGGGTCTTTCTCTGTGGGAAGGGGGAAGGGAGGGGCTGCATCCATCCCCTAGGTAAGGATCATGACACAGCAGTCAGGACTGGTGGAGACTGCAAGGGACAGATTTGAAGGTGAGGGAGTCAAAGAATCTTTAGAGTATTAACTGTCTATTGATGTTTTCCACTGAAGATCTTCCAAGTAGTGCCTGCAATGAACAAATAAGTACTTTGCTGCCTTTTTCCTAGAAGAGTAAAATCATGCCAGTAAGATAGACAAATAAGTGCAAAATCATGTTAAGATGTGGCTTCCTCAACAGACAAAGGATTAATCTCAAAAATATACAAGCAACTCCTCCAGCTCAACTCCAGAAAAATAAATGACCCAATCAAAAAATGGGCCAAAGAACTAAACAGACATTTCTCCAAGGAAGACATACGGATGGCAAAAAAACACATGAAAAGATGCTCAACATCACTCATTATCAGAGAAATGCAAATCAAAACCACAATGAGGTAACATTACACGCCAGTCAGGATGGCTGCTATCCAAAAGTCTACAAGTGATAAATGCTGGAGAGGGTGTGGAGAAAAGGGAACCCTCTTACACTGTTGGTGGGAATACAAACTAGTACAGCCACTATGGAAAACAGTGTGGAGATTCCTTAAAAAGCTGGAAATAGAACTGCCATATGACCCAGCAATACCACTTCTAGGCATACACACTGAGGAAACCAGATCTGAAAGAGACACGTGCACCCCAATGTTCATCGCAGCACTGTTTATAATAGCCAGGACATGGAAGCAATCTAGATGCCCATCAGCAGACGAATGGATGAGGAAGCTGTGGTACATATACACCATGGAATATTACTCAGCCATTAAAAAGAATTCATTTGAATCAGTTCTAATGAGATGGATGAAACTGGAGCCCATTATACAGAGCGAAGTAAGCCAGAAAGATAAAGACCATTACAGTATACTAACACATATATATGGAATTTAGAAAGATGGTAACGATAACCCTATATGCAAAAAAAGAAAAAGAGACTCAGATGTATAGAACAGACTTGTGGACTCTGTGGGAGAAGGCGAGGGTGGGATGTTTCAAGAGAACAGCATCGAAACATGTATATTATCTAGGGTGAAACAGATCACCAGCCCAGGTTGGATGCATGAGACAAGTGCTCGGGCCTGGTGCACTGGGAAGACCCAGAGGGATCGGGTGGAGAGGGAGGTGGGAGGGGGGACCGGGATGGGGAATACATGTAAATCCATGGCTAACTCATTTCAATGTATGACAAAAACCACTGCAATGTTGTTAAGTAATTAGCCTCCAACTAATAAAAATAAATGGAAAAAAAAAAAAGTAAACTGTTAAAAAAAAAAAAAAGAAAAGATATGGCTTCCTTATCTCTGTCCAGGCTGAGAGAAGCAATGAAAGATTTTGGTTCTCACTAGTTGTTACAGTCAGTTTGGTGAAATTACATTTTTTTTTTGGCTACAGTACCATGATGTCAATGTAAGGTGTCACTGTAAGATTAACACTATTCCTGGAATCATTTTCAGTACAGTTCTTTCCCCAACATTCAGGGGAATCACAACTGGAGCAAACATCCTATATGTTCTTGAAAAAGAAGACAGAAAAATATTACTGGTCTAGCATGAATTGGTAGAAGCTGTCTCTTGAAAGTTAAGTTGATTTGATTTAAGATAATTAAACATATCTGAAGGTATGAAAAAAACCTTCTGAATATCTAGAAAATATTTCAAATTTACCAATAGTATTGTCATATTTATCATGTTTATTTAGGTTGTATATATATTGAAGAATCCTCTGGTTCTGCCTTCTTTTGGGAGAACTGAATTTTAAATGAACATTGCTTAATTCCACTACAAAATAATTTAATTGCAAATACTTACTTTAATTACCCTGGACTGAACCCCAAGAGACACAGCCATTTACTTGGAGCCCAGCAAGATAAATTGCTTCAGCATACTGCAAGAGGAAGCCACTAAAACAATTACTCTGCTTTGTAAGCCTTTGTGTAGCTTCTGGCTAATAAACATGAAAATTTAAACAAACATGGAAGCAGGGGTCTCACCCTAACATGGAATATAGAAATAAAAGAGGAAAAGACAATCTCTACTTTCTCCCAAAAGAAAATCAAACACAGTTAACAACAAATCCCCTAGCTCTTAAAGTTACCGCTCCTTAACTTCGGTGAATTTAAAGTCTGACTGTATTGATTATTTGTTGCCATTAAACGGCCACAAAAACAATGCCTAGTAGCAAATGGTGTCTTTCCAAAGGGTGAAAAAGTGATTGGGAAAAAAGTCATCTCTACATACTGTGCATCTGTTATTTCTAGGGAAGAAATTTGCAAAGGGAATTAAAAAAATAGCTAAAAGCCAAGGTAACTCTGAATTTTTCTAATTCTTTGTCTTTTCCAATTTGCTGCCATGTGTTGTCCCAAACTGTTTTTTTATTGTTGTTTGGTGGTTCTTTCTGGTCACTGGTACGGCATTGATAGATGACAACTAAAGGAAAAATTAATATTAATTAAACATTGCTTTCAGTTAAGCTTTTAGATTAAAATTAATGGCATATTTGGATAAAAAAAAACTTTTGAGTTACTTGCCTCTACCCCCGCCATTTTATTCCCTTCTGTCACACTGAGTGGATCTTAGTTCCCCAACTAGTGATCACATCTGCCCCCCTATAATGGAAGCACAAGTCTTAACCTCTAGACCACCAGGAAAGTCCCTCTAACCTAGCCTTTACTATGATGGTTGTGAAATTGTTTCTTCAACTCCAGCACTTCTCCACATGCACCAGTCATTTATTACTTGGCATTCTTCTGTAACCCAGAGACCTCTTTTCTCTCTCTCCTTCTTTCTCCTTTTCTATCATTGATATGGACTTAGGAATTCCTATTTTTTCCAGTAGCTTAATTCATTAGTGTTCTTGATTATTTTGGTACTTAAATCATTCCAGGTTTGGCCATAGAGAGCACCTTCAAGGTGTTTCTTTTCCCTTTTTTTCATTGTTGTAAATTACACATAACATAAAATTTACCATTTTAGTCATTTTTGAGTGTATAGATCTGTGGCATTAAATTCATTCACATTGCTATGCATTCATCAATAGCATTCTTCTCCAAAACCCTTCTCATCTTCCTAAACTATAACTCTATACCCATTATGTAATAATTCCCCATTCTCCACTCCCCCATCCCCTGACTATCACCATTCTACTTTCTGTCTCCGTGAATTTGGCTATTCCAGGTACCTCATATTGGAATCAGACAATAATTATTTTTTTGTGTGTGACCAGCTTATTTCACTTAGCATAATGTGTTCAATGGAGGAGGAAATGGTAACCCACTCCAGTGTTCTTGCCTGGAGAATTCCATGGGCAGAGGAGCCTGGTGGCCTACAGTCCATAGGATCACAAAGAGTCAGAAATGACTGAACGACTTTCACTTTAATGTCTTCAAGGTTCACCCATTTCATAGCATATGTCAGTTTTCTCTTCATTTCTAAAGCTGAATAGCATTCTGTTGTATGTCTACACTATATTTTACCTGTCTGTTTAAGTCGATGGACAGTTGGATTGTTTCTACCTTCTGACTTTTGTGAATAATGCTGCTATGAACATGGGTATACAAATTATCTAAGTCCTAGCTCACAGTTTTTTGGGTATATACCTAGAAGTAGATTTGCTGAATTACATAGTTCCACCATACTTTTTGCTCAGTTGGGTCTGACTCTTTGTGACCCCAAGGACTGTAGCCTGCCAGACTTCTCTGTCCATGGATTTTTCCAGGCAAGAATACTGGAGTGGTTTGCCATTCCCATCTCCATGGTATCTTCCTGACCCCAGGTTCAAACTCGGATTTCATGTATTGCAGGCAGATTCTTTACCATCTGAGCCACTAGGGAAGTCCCAAAATGACATGGTAATTCTGTGTTTAATTTTTTGAAGAATCGCCATACAGTCTTCCATAGAAATTCCACTATTTTATATTTTCACTAGGAATGCACTAGGGTTCCAATTTATTTGCATCCTCTCTAACACTTGTTAGTTTGTTTTTTTAATAACAGACATCCTGATGGATATAAAATGGTGTCTCATTGTGGGTTTGATTGACATTTCCCTAAAGATTTCTCCTGTTGATCATCTTTTCAGGTGTTTACTGTCCATTTGATATCTTCTTCAGAGAAATTCATGTCCTTTGCCCATATTTTAATCAGGTTGTTTGGTTTTTTTGTTGTTGGGTTGTAGGTGTTCTTCCTCTGTTGACATAATCAGAGCTCATATTCTTAAAAATAATAATAATAAATATGTAAAAATAATATGTAAATATATGTAATAAAATTATTTAATAATGAATATTATTATATCAATATATGTTTATTATTAGTTAGTAATGAATATTATTATATCAATATATGTTATATTATTAGTTAATAATAAATATGTAACTATATAATATGTTAGGGAATGATAAAGAGTAAAATAAACAATAATGAGTGCCAGCAAAGAGTGTGGTGATGTGGTGATGCTTGTTATTTCATGTAGAATAATCAGAGCAAGCCATTTGTTGCATTTCAGCAGTCTTAAAGGAATTGTGGATATTTGAAGAAACTGTGTTCCAGGCAGAGGGGAGGACAAATTCAAAGGCCTTTTAGAGCCGGAACAGAGTGAGTGACAGGACACAGTGGGACATAGAGGACATTTGAAGGGTTTTAAAGCCAGGGTGTTCAGGTTCTTATTTTCTCAAGATCACAGGGTACTTAATGTACCTATGTATAGGTGGATTGTAGAAAGTAAGTCTGAGCATGGGTGTTAGGAAGGAATTAAGAAACTTGAAGAAAGACAGTTTTCAGAGGTTTTCATAGGTGAAATTACACAGCAATTGCTTACAGGCTATAGGAGGCAAGGAGAGCAAGAATTCTGCTTAGGTTGCCTTCTTAGGAAGAAAGAAGGCAAGAATGTAGGTTGGGGCCTATGGACCAAAACAGAAAATAAAGGAAAACCTAGTTTTAACAGAGGATTAGAGGGAGACTAGGGAAGTATGGCCAGAAAATTGCTTCAGTTTTGGACACATTGACTTGGAGGTACTTGTGAAACATCCAGGTGAACATAGCCAGGTGTGTATATCAGTGTAGAGCTTACAGTGGGGGCCGGGCAGAAGTGTGGCCTGGAGATAGGTTTCTGAAAGTCATTGGCACATAGAGGTGACATAAGTACTAATTATGTTTAAAAATCTTAAGTTTTAGCACCGATTGTTTATTTACCTCCACAACTTGTTGACAAGAGTTTAGAAAGTACTTTCTAACATTTATTTTTCTCCGTGGCAATTTAGGAAAATTTAAACCTAGCTCTGAATTCTGCCTCAGCCATTGGTTGTACTGTAGTCAACATTGGGGCACAGGATCTCACAGAAGGAAAACCTCACTTGGTCTTGGGACTTCTCTGGCAGATCATCAAAGTTGGTCTTTTTGCTGATATTGAGATTTCCAGGAATGAAGGTAAGGTCATCAAAAATATTTGCTTTTCATTGACATATATTTACTGTGGGAAGAATTTATACTTCATTATTTTCCTCTCAGCTCTGATTGCATTGCTAAAGGAAGGTGAGGATCTAGAAGAGCTAATGAGGCTATCTCCAGAGGAATTACTGCTGCAATGGGTGAACTACCATCTGACAAACGCAGGATGGCCTACTATCAGCAACTTCAGCCACGACATTAAGGTTCATATTTTAATGCTCAGATTTGTGACATTAAAAAAGAATGTCAAAACACATGTCAAATTTGTTTTGAATGTTAAATGGGATTTAGAAGTCAATTAGAACTGAAGTTTAATTCTCAAGGACACAGTATAGAAAATGAAAATTTGCATTTTTCCATCTGAGGTGATGCCCCACTTACAATCACAAAATCTTTTGCTAAAATAAAAAAACCAAACTGTTTTATTGGCTTGTAATAAGAAATACAGCTGGGGAATTCCTTGTCTGTCCAGTGGTTAGGACTTGGCACTTTCACTGCTGAGGACCCAGGTTCAATCCCTGATTAGGGAATATAGGTCATGCAAGCCAAGTGGTGTGGCCAAAAAGTAAGTAAATTAGAAAAAAGTAATACAATTGGTTGTAAGAGGAAAGAGATGCTAGCATTAGCAAATTAAAGCATTCTTTTCCATTTTCTGTGACACAAATAGACTAAGTTATAATGAGGATATCAGTCTGTTAGAGTGAGAATATCTGTTTGCTAAGACTAGAGGCCCTGGTGGGCATAACCTGTTTCTTACTCTTACTTCCACTTTACCAGTAACCAGTTAAGAGGAAACCAAAGGGACCCCTTTGGTGGTACAGTGGATAAGAATCTGACTGCCAATGCAGGGGACATGGGTTTGATCCCTGATCTAGGAAGATCCCACATACTGTGGAGCAGCTAAGCCTGTGTGTCACAACGACTGAATCTATACTCTGGAGCACATAGCCACAAATACTGAGCCCATGTGCTGCAACTACTGAAGCCTGTGCTCCTAGAGCCAGTACTCTGACACAAGAGAAGCCACCATAATGAGGAGCCCATGCACTGCAACAAAGAGTAGCTGCCGCTCACTGCAACTAGAGGAAGCCCGTGTGCAGCAATGAAGGCCCAGTGCAAGCAAAAGTGTAATTAATTAATTTTAAAAAAGGAAACCAAAGTATCTGAGGACATAGGGAATCAGTAGACAGAAGGAGGTCTTCAGGCTTGTCTCTGAACCAAAGTAACTTGAAACCCCATCCCTTAAATGGAAAAAAAAAAAAAAAAAACCCATCCCTCCCCATTACCACCACCCATTGGAGATGCTGATGCTTAGGAGTGTAAACAAATGAAAAAGGTGAGGAAGGGCAATGAAACAGTGTGGGAGACAGTGTTGCTAGAAGCTCTGAGGTGCGAAACAGGATTGCCAGAAGCTCTAAAGTATGAAACAACATAGTGCATTCAGGATCCTGGAGTAACAAGTAAAGGTTGCTAAGTTATTGAAATGAAGGCAATTTCTTCAATGAGTACTTTTTCCCTAAATCCAATTGTGATTTTATTCACTTTTAAAATTCTGTTGTGTTTCTTTCCTTAAAGGATTCAAGAGCCTATTTTCATCTGTTGGACCAGATTGCACCTAAAGGTGACCGGGATGATGGACCTGCCATTGCCATTGATCTTACAGGATTTAGTGTGAGTATAATTTTTAATTAAAATTAAAAAAAAATTTTTGTAAAATATGCACAGCATAAAACTTACCATTTTAACCATTTTTAAGTGTACAGCTCAGCGGCATTAAGTACATTTGCATTATGTGCCATTATTACCACCTTCCCTCTCTGGAATTTTTTCCTCATCACATAGTAAAGTCTATAGGCATTAAACAATAACCCCTTTTCCCCTCTCTCTCAAGCTCCGGGTAACCACTGTTCAACTTCGTACCTCTGTGAATTTGAGTAGTGAGTAGAGTCATAGAATCCAGTTCTCTACAGGGGCATTCCCTGGTAGAGTCCTCAGCCCTTCATTAAAGGGCTTTAAAAGAAGCCCTTGGCTTTTATGTTTTTCAGAAGCTTTTTTCTGTGCCCTAGGCTCCAAATTTCTATGCTAAGCCACTGGCTGTCATGAGTGAAGAAAGGGAATTGCAGGATCCTGACATTGAGTATGTGTAGAATCAACTTTATACCCAACTATATGTCCCTGGTGCAACATCACTGGAACTCACTAGGGTGCTTTTGTAGTTGTGACAGTGTACAAGGAAAGGGAGCAACAAGCTGTTAATGGATTCATAAGCAATCAATTACCATTTCTTCCAATGTATATTTGGTAACACACAAAATAAAAGATGGAAATTCTAGTATTTATGATGTAGAAAGGACTGATGTAAATGCTGGCTCATATAACAAATTTCCTAGGGAAGTCCATTCTTTTAGCATAAGCTGTAAATACCAGGGTTACATCTAAATGTTAAAATCTGGTCAGACTACAGTTCGTATAAACATCTATTAAGTGCTTAAAGTGTAACATCCAAGTTTAGTTTTAAAGGCAATTTGCGTCATCACTAATTAATTATATTTCACATTATTATAAAATCTAAAAACAATTATGCAAAATTTGCAAATTCACTTGAGTTTTAATATTAGGAACTGAAAAAAACTTATGGAAAGTTTCAAACTTATTCAAAAGTGAACAGACAGTATACTGAACTACCACATGTTCATTCCTCAGGTTCAACAGCCATCAATGCATGGTCAGTCTTGTTTCTCCATTTATTACCTATTTCCTTCATCTTCCATATTATTTTGAAGCAAATTCTAGAATATTATCATTTAATGAATAAGTATTTTAATATGTATTTCTAAAAGATAAAGACACTTTGAAAATATAACCATAATACCTAAAAAAATAACAGTAGTCTGTAATATCAAAATGATTAATCAGTGTTGACATTTCCAGTTGCCTCATAAATGTCAGATTTTCTTTTTATCATTTATTTGAATTAAAATCTAAATAAGGTCCACATATTATGCCTTGTTCATGTCTACCCAAGATGCTTTTATTGTTGTTTAATAGCATTGAACTTATTGCTTTCTCTGATTTCAGTTACATTTTATTTACAACTCTGGTGCACAGAATTAGATAAATCTTAATCTTTGGTCATGATATACTCTCATCATGGGTCCATGCATGTTTTTGTTTAAATTTATTTTTCTTTGGTAGTTGTTTGTTGTATTGAAATTGTAACAAGTTCGTGCAGACCCTCAATCCAACAAGAATGCTAGGACTTTTACATCAGATTATATTAAACTGTGTAGTTCTTCCCTGTCCCATCTCTCTGCCTGCCTTTAATGTGATAATCATCATCTTTATTCTTATGCTCATTGTTCTTTTGCTTTTAATACAATTTTCTTTCAACTAAGTGTATTTCTTACAGATTTAAACTTTTCATTTTATTTTTTAACTTCATATAAAGTTTATCATGTTGTACTTAAATTTCTACTACTTATTTTGAATATATTATATTACTGAGAGTCACTCCTATTGTATGTTCTTGTGTGACTATTAACACAGTTTCAGTTTTCATCTGCTTTCCTGTTGATAAGCATTTGGTTTGTTTCCAAGGTTTTGCATTTGTGAAAAGTGCTGTTCCTTCTGATGTTAGTATTTTTTTATATGTATCCCAACTTGTTTTTCATTGAGAAAAGAATACACTGGCAATATCAGAGTAGATATCTTTTTATTAGTACCATTTGTAAGTAAGTCTCTTGGCCAGAAGGCACTCTAATATATGGCCCTGAACAAGTTACCTATAATTCATCCAGTAGCAGCTTCTGATACGATATTTGAGAGTTTTGTTGAGTACTTGAGCCTTTAGGATGAAATATTCTTCTGATTCCAGCAAGAAACCTCAGAGACTTGTTCTTACTGATTTAAAAGAAATGGGGACGTTAATTTGGAATTGCTGTGCATCCGGATCTCCTTTTGAGCCATCTGTTGATTTATTTCCAGAAAAGTAATTGCTTATAAATATGTATATGAATAAGAAATTATGCTAATCAAAAGTTTAATCTTGACCATTTTCGTTTTATTTCATTGTTTAGGAGAAAAATGACTTGAAGCGTGCTGAATTCATGCTTAAGGAAGCAGATAAACTGGGCTGCAGACAGTTTGTTACTCCTGCAGATGTGGTTTCAGGCAATCCTAAACTTAACCTGGCTTTTGTAGCTAATCTGTTTAACACGTACCCAGGCCTCCACAAGCCTGATAATAATGACATCGATATGAATTTATTGGAAGGTATGCTCTTTCTGTCTTTAATTGATTCACTGTGTGTATCTTTTTATGATATTGTCCTACTTCATTGTCGGAGGTAGGGGATTGCGGAGGGAGATGTGGTTGACTGTGTGCTGGCATGTTCACCCATTAAGAAGTTAAAGAAAATTGTTGTTCATTTGGGTTAAAAGCAAATGCTGAGGTAAATCTTACTTGTCTGTCATTTCTCCATAAGAGTTTAGTGAAAACCATCATACATTTAAAATATTCTCTTAAATGACTACATAATTCCACCACCAATATGTACAATGAAATATAGCTATTGAAAAAATAATTATTTGAAATTTTTTCCTGCTTTGAAAGCTTCAGTTTGACTTCAGTATTGTTCTCTTTTTTCTGTGTTTAGTTCACTTGAAAAAATTTACAGTATTCATTACTTGTCTTGTGTGTGGGCTGTTGTTTTCTGTCTCATAATTTATAATACTTTCCTATTTTGCTTCATGAAATGCAGATTTGACCCCTCCTAATGTAGGTACTGTATTTAGTACTTTTCTATAAGCTATAAATATATTCATTCTGAATGTGCTTTTTATCAGTACCATTTGTTCTTTCTATCTGGATTGATATTTTTTGCATTGTTCATGTTGTGTTTTTGTTTTTTTTTTTAATCTGTCTTAATATGCCTAAAGAATGAAGGATGACAAGCAAGACACAAATGAAACTTAATTAGAACAGCAGGGCAAGACTTGATTATGTAAACTCTATCTAATTTGCCTTCTATAATTATGGGATAGTGGAGTTGTAAACACATTGGGGATCAGTTTTGACAACTGGATGTCATGATTTGATGGAAGCCTTTATCCCTCTGCTATGAATAAGCACACTTATTTTTTATCTCAAGGATCTCTGAAAGGATTGATTTAGGATCTATAACATATATCATTTTGTATTACTTAGCTATGTTACTTACATTTACTAAATGTCATTGACGCTTACAATATATGAATCATCATTATGACAAAAACATGCTCAATGTCTCATTCTTTCTCATCTTTTTCAGCCTCTCTCCTTTCCCTCTCATCCTCACAACTACTCACATGTATACCAAGACCCACATTCATACTAGAACTGAAAGTAAAAATAGTGGCAGCAGTAGTGGCAGTTATCAGAGGTAGGGACTACTCCTACAATAGCCTTGATAGTTGCCCTGGTTCGGAGAAGCTGGTTCTGAGGTGAGGATTCTTCCTGGTGTGGAGAACTTGACACTTCAGTGTTCACTGTCTCACATCACCCATCTTACTCCCTTCTTCACCTGTGAGACAGAGTGAAAAATTAGCCCTATCATCTTTTTCTCTTTGACTACCACAACCAGAGTTCCAATGTCCTGGTCAGTTTATAATGACAGCCTTTTGATTAATGAAGGAAGCTTCAGATTTAACAAATATGTTGTTGGAGGACTATGATTTTACCTCACTCTTTCTGAGATTCACTAAAATAAAGATTGTGTTCTCTACATAGACATGTAACTGAGAGGTCAGATAGATTAAGAAATGATGATTTTTCAGCAGAGAAATTTAGGGTGAGGGGTTAGAACTTTTAAAAAAACTAAAAAGAGAGATGGCTGTGTTTTTTTTAATCAGTCTGGAAAATTTCAAAATTCCTCTCTGCCTTATAGTAGAAGGCATTGTTTAGAGTGGCATATTAAAAATGACCTGCTTTTTATAGTCACTGAATTCTTGCTAGATATCTTTTCCAACTTGCTCGCTCTCCTATTTGTCACGTTTGAATTCTTTTGCTGGTGTTCAGCATGCTTTTGGGATTTTTCAGTGTGAACAGGATTGCTAAATATTTCCATTAGTATTTACTTTATTTATATAAAAAATACTGTGGGAAATATTTATCAGTCATCTTTATTTATAACATATGTATGTCCTGATAAATCTGCCAAAAATGAATTTGACTTTGACTGTCATTGGAATTTTTTCCTCTGTACATTAGTTTTTGTAGATCCTTATGAAATTTGAAACTTGACCTTATCACCTTCACATTCATGTATTAGTATGTCCTCAGTGGCAAAGAATTTTATCTGTATGGAATTAAAGAAAATTAAAGGCCCAATTAAATAATAAATCTTCATATTAGATTGAGCCAAATATGGGGGCTACAGATACAGAGACAATCTCAAAATTCATTTGTGGTAATAGAAAATACATAGACCATAGAATTAGACTTTGTCTAAATCATGATACCCCCAATTTAATAACTGAGTACCTTTATGAACCTATATGGTTTTCTCATATATACAACCATACTTAATAATAATACTTATTTTGAAGAATTCCAGAGCAAGTTAAAGTGACCTTTCGTTAGTGAACAAATTTTGTGTGCTCAATAATGGTTGGGAAGAGGAAAACAATACACCACTTTAGCACATGTAGTTAGTGTTCAATATAGATTCCTTTCCTTTCCTCTAAGTAGCCTGCTTTTGTTATTTTCTCTAAACTTTTATCAATTGCAATGTCAGTTTAGTCCTAAAAATGAAGAGAATGTCTTACAATTCTTTCTCTCTTTTATATCTGCCTTTAAGATTTTACTTCCAAGATTGCTTTAGTTGTCTGAAATCCAGACAGCATTTCCAGTCTTGAATACATATGTTTTTGTAATGCTTTACCATGACTCCTGCGCAAATGCATAGTGCTTCTGGCCTTGAGCATTTATTTACCAAGACAACTTGGAATGGTAGTAGATAAATAAATGCTCACTTTTAAAATCTCTTTTACTTTCCAGGTATCAAAAATTAAAATAATGATATAACTAGTTTAGAGCAATAGGAAGAAACAGAAAACACTTTAAGTCTATAATAGTTATAGAATTCAATGAAAATGCAAGTTTAGTGTCTTGTATCATCAGGTCCAGCAGAAACTGGATATTGTTTTAGTAAAAATTAAACTGTTGTTACCCTATTGATGTTTGAAACCTTAAAACATAATTTGGATTTTCCTAGATGAAAATAACGTAAAAATTCTCTAATTACTAGAAAAAATTTATACATATAGCAAAATAACAGAATGTAATAGAGAAATAACTAAAAGATAAATTCAAGTCACATGCATCAAACTGCTAATCATAGTATGGTTACATTTATGTCACTTCCAGGAAAGCTGAAATATTTAATTTGCACCTATTTCAGTTCAGTTACTCAGTCATGTCTGACTCTTTGTGACCCTATGGACTGTAGCACACCAGGCTTCCCTGTCCATCACCAACTCCCGAAGCTTGCTCAAACTCATGTCCATCCAGTCGGTGATGCCATCCATCTCATCTTCTGTCATCCCCTTCTCCTCCCACCTTCAATCTTTTCCAGCATCAGGGTCTTTTCCAATGAGTCAGTTCTTCGCATCAGGTGGTCAAAGTATTGAAGCTTCAGCATCAGTCCTTCCAATGAATTTTCAGGACTGAATTCCTTTAGGATTGACTGGTAGGAAGTCCTTACAGTACAAGGGACTCACAAGAGTCTTCTCTAACACCACAGTTCAAAAGCATCAAGTCTTCAGTACTCAGCTTTCTTTATGGACCAACTCTCGCTTTGATACATGCACCTTTTAATAATGCCCAAAAACAAGGCAAGCATGAGTTCTAGGAGTAGTTAAACTTTTTTCTTTAAAAAAAGATTCTCATATCAGTTATGTATTATAAAATGACTGTGGCAGATACAACAGATGGATCAGTTACCTTTTATGAAGACCAGAGGAAACAAAATTTCAGCAAGAAATTATATGGCTATATAATTGAATAGAGCAAGAATTAAAGCAGATTATGGGAAAGGCTTTAGATAATGGTATTGAAAACCACATGAAAATGCAAACAGCAGTCAACACAAAAACCAGAATCTTTTAAATTTTACAAGGTGTGGATTTCTGTGCTGGGCATGTAGGTTTACTCTATGTGTGACAGTCTGAAGAAGACTGCAAGGATGATGTGATAGGAATGGGCCCCTGGTGCTCAGATGGTCAAATGTGATAAATTGTCCTGGAGATCCCCCATGAACCAAAGTTCAGATGGTGATCTGGATTTGTCCATGTCTTAGAAGTTATGAGAGGTATAAATGTTTCCATTTTCAAGAGTCTAGTGATGAGAGGTAGGCAAGGCCATTCCATTGCCCCCTAACTTAGCTGAAAAACAAACAATAATTTCTAGATGGCCCCTTAGGACAATCTGCAATGCTGGGGATGCTTAAAAGGTAGATGTGGCAAAAAGAGCCCCCATCTCTCTCTGCCCACACCAGAGCCCACATTCCCCTTATGGATGGGGTAAGCACTGCTATGAAGGGGATGCTCAAGGACCATAGGTAATCACAGGTTAAATAATACTGCCTGCAGGAGTTACTTCTTGAGGTGATCTTTGAGGTCTAGTGACTTACTATACTATGATGAAATGTGTCTTTTCCCACTCTGTATGGGGGCTATGTCCCTTATGTGTTTTCTGTAGGGACGAGCTAAAATAACCCAGGAAGCCTATAAAATAGTTATAGCCCCTCATTGTTTGTTTTTATATTACCTGTAATCCCCTCTCCCCTTCATTGCTGTTTGGTGTCATGAAAATGTAGGTTTGTGTGCTCAGACACTTTCCTGTGTAAAGCCATAATCTATACAGATTTAGAGATACCACACTGGGAAAGGTAAAGCTTTTCTATTTCTGTTTAAAGTGCTAATGTTACTCTAAAAGGTTGTTTTATTAATTTTTAGCCAGTCCCCTTTGCATGAACTCATAACTACAGATAGGACCACATAGGTTTACCTATTACTTTTCTGAACACAGAAACTAATGGCTCAATAATTTACAAACATCAAGTAAGGGACTCTAGATGAAGACATTTAGAAAGCAAATGGAGACTTTCTCGACAGGGGGGAAGGAAGCTTTGGCAGAAAGAGATTTCTTTTTCTTCCCTAAAAAGATTGTCCTGGAGAAGGAAATGGCAACCCACTCTAGTATTCTTGCCTGGGGAATCCCATGGACACAGGAGCCTGGTGGGCTACAGTCCATGGGGTTGCAAAGAGTCAGACATGGATTAGTGACTAAACAACAAACAAAAAGATTGTTGTATCATAGGAACCATGGCAAAATATGTATGACCAGTTTGTGCCTGCCAGAATGGTTTAAAATGCAGTTCTTGATTCCTTTTTTGTCTTGAATCATCAGTGTAAACTTGTGTCTACTTTAGGAGAGAGCAAGGAAGAGAGGACATTTCGGAACTGGATGAATTCCTTGGGAGTCAGCCCATATATTAATCATTTGTACAGGTAAATATTTTATATGTTTTAGCTTTCTGACTAGAGTCCAACTTTTCTAGTTTTAAACTGTAGGTGTGTTTACCTGAGACTATTTTGTAAAAATCTCAAAAATTTTAGCCAACGTTTAGAGTTTCAGAATCCTGAGGATTGGCAACACACTGGATTTTAATAGAAAAATATTATTTGAAGAGATAATATTATGTTGTTGTTAGTTATAATTTTTGATGACAAATAATTTAGTAAAGATTTTTTACATCTTGATTTTTTTATAATTGCTAATCAGGAAAATAATAAATTATTTCAAGTTTAACAGATTAGAAGAACAGTAATATTAGTTGCTCTTACTTTATCAGTATTCATCATTATAATTCACATTCTATTTATTTTTGCGCCAAACTTCAATTACCCCATAATTTGTTCTGAATATTTTTTTCTAATTTGTAGAAATAACTTTGTTTCCCTTAATACTTGTTGTTTGTTTTATTCTTTTTTGTTTAAAAATGACAACACATTATTAACATTGGTAGGATTAAGAAAATATTTTACTGAATCATTTCCTGTGCTCTCCGGTAGTGCAAATAAGGAATCTTTCTAGGTGTAGATGAGAGGAAACTATCCTTCTCCATTATAAGATCTACCTGAGCATGCCTAAAAATGCAAAAGAACTCAGCTCCAGCTAATTGTATATTTTTCTAATTAACTAAACCTATTAATAATTTACACACCAAGGAAACTTCTTAATGAACAATAACTGCTTTTATTTAAATATGAACTGGAGATTAATACCACAAAAGACCATGTTCAGATTTATGGTGTAGTTATTTCTTGGTGTATATTCAAAATAGTCTTTAAAATCAGTATTGCCTGGTTGTGGAAACTAGCTTTGATGTGATAGACTTAAATTTCATAAAGTCTTTAATAGGAATGTGTGAATTCCAACTGGATGACAAAAGACATATGTCTTTTAGACTGGAACTTCTCAGAGTAGTGGCACAGTAAAGAACTCTAATACTGGAGGGAAAGAGGGATGCTAATTAAGCTTATTCTTCTAAAGGGATAGCAGTTTAATAAGACTGCAAACTCTATTGCTTTATTTATCTTTCTGAGTGTGATATCTCACTAAAAATCCTTGATTCAGAATCCTCAGGTGAAATATTACTTTTCTGAAACCATTGAATATTGCCACAATTAAAAGGCTGAAAATACATATGTCAGAGAGTCTCAATTTTTCTCTTTTGATATACTTGTTACTTGATGTAAATATATAATATGATATTGCTTTATCGTTACTTTTATACTTATAATAAAGAAATTTTCTTCTAAAAAAAATAGGTTAGATCTTTATGGACTCATTTGAAAGAATGTCTACAATGTATAACTGAGAGAACATAATGATACAATAGGATTACTATAATCTCACTTTTACTTAAAGTTTAGTATATATGTATATGTATTTGAATTTTAAAAAAATCTAGAGGGATTAATACCAAACTGTATACAACGTAGAGAGGAGGGTTAAGGTAGTAAGGAGACTTAGTTTTCATGTTAGTAACTTAAATATGGTTTTGGAGGGTTTTTCTTTGTTTTACAATAAACATGTATTTTCTTTTTAAATTAAGAAGGACATGTAAAACTAGGAGATTAGAATTTATTGAGACTTCATGGTAGCTTCATAAATGTCAGGAATACTACAGTTCTCTGTGGTTGGCAGTGGAGAATAATTGACCAATTTTATTTTTGGCTGAAGATGATTATATTTATTTAGTTCCTGAACTGCTAGCATTGGGTTTCCAGGTATAGGTAATTTTTGGAGGGGTAAGGCAAGTTCAGAAAATTCTCAAAAGTCACCTTAAAAAGAACCATCAGGATATAGAAAAACAAGAACCAGAGGTCTAGTTACCACCAGAACTATATGTCCATATATTTGTGTCTGGGTCATATTCCTAAACCAACCCCTAAGTGATTTGCTCCCCACCTGCAGTATACCAAACCCAACCTAAACCAAAACAAAAGAATAATTTAGATTGTTTTTAACTGAAAATTCTCTCCTCTCAGGTTATTAAATATATTTTAAGAATTACTAACCCTAGAATTTTTCTATGACAGGTTGGTTCTAGAACACACCTGGAAATCGTTTCAACTCTCTGAGCCTCAGTTTCCCTATTTGTGAAACATGAGTATTAATACCTTACTACATAGAAATAAGAATGAATTCTTTTAAAGTAAAAAACAAAAAAATTCATGAAATGAGATTTTAGAACCTATACAACTACTTCAGTGATTTACTTTTCATAAAGCTTTCTCCATGTGCTGATAGATGACTTAGCTCTTGATTACCTTCATCAAAAGCGGACTCTTCTTTTAAGACAGGAGGACTTTTTCTCTCCTTCACTCAGTTCAGGGTGGAGCCCCCTGCATGGCCATATGGTGTGTGCTCATAGATGCAAAGTAACTTTAATATGAACCTTAGCAAAACAGAGCTCAATGAACAAGCTGTTGAGGGAGAAAACTCATGTAATTCAGTATGGAGCTAGCAATTTAAAAATCAGTCACTGTTCCTTTATGTCCTTACCATACAGAATTGAAAACAGATACAACAGATGAGGAGAACATGTTTTTCTGAATCCCAAGTAGCAGTGTTTTTACTTCAGTAACTCCTACTTTTTCCTAAATTCCTTCCTCTTAACCCTCACTGTTTAACATGAACAGCTTCCTACTGAGTAGTTATTGTGATTTTTATATAATTATTTTTTAAAGTTTTAAAAATCATAATACATAAGTAATAGATGAACTCATTCTCACTGTACAAGCTTCAGGAAGTATGTAAGTATGTAGAACAGCAACAAAAAAAAACCATGATAATCCCATCTTACCCATCCCATGTTCCTTTTTTTCCTGCCCAGAGGTAATGGCCATGAATAGAGGTATTTAAACACTACTAACTCTGAAAATATTTTTAATATTTTAAAAGATTAAAATGCATTAATAGAATTAAAATATATTTAATAATATCTTAAACAGAAATATTTTAAAATAATATTTTAAATAAATAAATAACTGCCTCTTGCTTTTTTAAACTTAGTGTGTTGTATAAAGCTTTCATGTTAGTACATAGGGATCTACCTTGTTCTGTCTTATGGTGGTCCAGGAGTCCAGGGTAAGGTTAATTTACTCAACAGCCCCTACTGTCAGGCATTTAAATCATCTCTAAATTTATAAATACCATGGGAATGAATATCCATGTACATATATCTTTGTACATATTTATCAAAAAAATTTGGACAGATTCCTAGATTAGAAGTTCTGGGTCAAATGATCTATTCTGCCTGCTATTCTTTAAGCATTCAATAGTCCTGTTGTATTTTTATAGACATAAGCCCATTTCCAGTGTGCTTAGTAAAACCAGATCATACCAACATTTCCTCTTCTTTCATTTTCTTTTCCTCTTGTCTTAGTGACCTTGCAGATGCATTAGTCATCTTTCAGCTCTACGAAATGATCCGCGTGCCAGTTGACTGGAGCCTTGTCAACAAACCTCCTTATCCTGTTCTTGGAGGGAACATGAAGAAGGTGAATGAAATAATGCCCATGGATCTGTTCTTATTGTTCTCATATAAAACAGAGGACTTAAGAGTTTCATAAAGCTTAGTAAAGTGTAATCTGTCCCCACAGATTCATCCCAAAATGTGTTATGCTTATTATCCTTAATACAGGTGAGCTTTTGTGTTTGGAAAGATGAAGCTAGTCCTCAAAGTCAGACACTTTGTATAACTACAACTTTAGCAAGTTGTAGTACTTAATGTTCTTGGAGATGCATCATCTATGAATTCCTATTTTATAATTGCCAAAACTTGCCAGATATTTACTGGCTGTTTGTTAATATTTTCAGTAGATATTAATTGATTACCTACAACCTGTACATACTGTACAATGCAGGATATACAATAGAACAAGTCATGGAGTTGGTCCTCAGGAAACCCTAAAGAAATTAGATAAGATATGTGTGTGTGCGCGTGCGTGCTAAGTCGCTTCAGTTGTGTCTGACTCTGTGACCTCATGGACTGTAGCCTGCCAGGTTCCTCTGTCCATGGGATTCTCCAGGCAAGAATACTGCCATGCCCTCCTCCAAGGGACCTTCCTGACCAAGGGATCAAACTCGCATCTCTCTCTTACATCTCCTGCGTTGGCAAGCAGGTTCTTTACCACTAGCGCCATCTGCAAATCTCAAGAAATGTGTGCAAATAACTATAATACAATGCAATGTAGGCAAAAGTGAATATTAGGAGTTCTAAGGAAGCCTTTGACAGATCACAACAAACTGGAAAATTCTTAAGGAGATGGGAATACCAGACTACCTGACCTGCCTCCTAAGAAATCTGTATGCAGGTCAAGAAGCAACAGTTAGAACTGGACATGGAACAAAGACTGGTTCCAAATCGGGAAAGAAGTATGTCAAGGCTGTATATTGTCACCCTGCTTACTTAACTTTTATGCACAGTACATAATGAGAAATGCTGGTCTGGATGAAGCACAAGCTGGGATCAAGATTGCTGGGAGAAATATCAATAACCTCAGATATGCAGATGACACCACCCTTATGGCAGAAAGTGAAGAAGAACTAAAGAGCCTCCTGATGAAAGTGAAAGAGGAAAGTTAAAAAAGTTGGCTTAAAGCTCAACATTCAGAAAACTAAGATCATGGCCTCTGATCCCATCACTTCATGGCAAATAGGTGGGGAAACAATGGAAACAGTGAGATACTTTATTTTGGGGGACTCCAAAATCCCTGCAGATAGTGACTGCTGCCATGAAATTAAAAGACACTTGCTCCTTGGAAGAAAGCTATGGCCAACCTGGACAGCATATTAAAAAAGCAGAGACATTACTTTGCCAACAGAAGTCCATGTAGTCAAAGGTATGGTTTTTCCAGTGGTCATGTATGGATCTGAGAGTTGGACTACAAAGAAAGCTGAGCACCAAAGAACTGATGCTTTTGAACTGTGGCTTTTGAACTTCTTCCCTTGGACTGCAAGAAGATCCAATCAGTCAATCATAAAGGAAATCAGTCCTGAATATACATTGGAAGGACTGATGCTGAAGCTGAAACTCCAATACTTTGGCCACTTGATGCGAAGAACTGATTCATTGGAAAAGACCCTGATGCTGGGAGGGATTGGGAGCAGGAGGAGAAGGGGACAACAGAGGATGAGATGGTTGGATGGCATCACTGACTCAATGGACATGAGTTTGAATAAGCTCCTGGAGTTGGTGATGGACAGGGATGCCTGGCGTGCTGCAGTTCATGGGGTTGCAAAGAGTTGGACACAACTGAATGAGTTAACTGACTGAAGGAAGAAAAAGCCATAGGCTACACTCATCATGAGAGGGTTCATGCCAGAGGTGGGTTTGGAGTTATACCCTGAGAAATGGATAGAATTTTGTCAGAAGGAGACTGGAGAGGGGGCTGATGGGCAGGAAGAACAGTTTGACTATTGTAGAGGATTCTATTAGGTAAGAAGTGAGTGTGAATGCTAAAAATTTGGATTGAAGCCAATGTTGAAAGCTTTGAATGTCAGAAGAAAAGAGTTTGGGTTTTAAACAGCTAAATACTGGGAAACCATTAAATGTCTTTGAGCGGAGCAGTGACTTGAAAACAGTTGATAGGAGAACATCTGGCAGGTGAATGGTAAAAAGCAGTGCTTTTCTTCAGTGTTCTTCCTCAAATACGGGATCTGTGGTGTCCTTGCTGTTCAAGATTGCTATGTTGAATTACTGCTTTAATGTTCAGCTTTTCATTTCTACCTTCTGTATCAAGTTCATTTGTTCTTCAAAGTACGAGTTTGTAGGACTTTAAAATTTTTATAGTTTCATTTAACTTCATCCTTTCATTTAGAATAATGTATATATTTTAAATATGTAATACAAATTAATGGACTCAAATCGCTATAACTTTTTAGTATGGCTACAGTGAAATTAACCTGCAGTCTCATGAGTTAAAAATTATCTCTAGTGAAATATAATCAATGGAACTATAACCATATTCCTGGATAGAAATCTAAATATTATAAAGATATTAAAATTCTTCAAATTGGCTTATAGGTAGGAAATAATTCTAGTTAAAATTAATCTCCTTATGCATATGTGGGCATGTGTGTGTATTGGGAGATGGGATTATAAAAATGATTCTAAAGTTCAACTGGAAGAAGAAATAGGCCCCAGTCATCAAGAACATTTTCTAGGAATGTTGAGGGAGAAGCTGTTAGCAAACATAAAGATCTTATTATAAAGCTAAAGTAACTGAAATAATTTAATATGCATATAAAAATCAAATGGATTATAGTAGCCTAGAAACCTATCCTAAAATATAAGAACTTAATATATAACAAATTGTTTACTGAATCCAGTAGGGAGAGAAAGGATTATCCAAAATATGATGCCAGAAAAACTGGGTAAATATTTTGTAGGGAAAAAAGTACTTTTCACCATATATTATCCACTCAAATAAATTCCACTGGAATGAAAGTGAAGACTTAAAGGCTTAAATGTAACAAATAAAACTTTAAGAAAATAGAAGTGAATTATAATTTACTCTTACAATGATAAATCACAAAGAAATAATTGATGTAGTAGATTACATATGAATTTAAAACTTCTTATGCAAAAATAAACACCAAAAAACAAAACTTAAAAGTAAATAAAAACAATACACTATGAAACATATTTGCAGCAGAACAACAAATGGTTAATATCCTTAACATAAAAATAGTTTATACAAATCAATTACTATTACTAAAATTGTAATAGCAAAATGGGAGAGTAAACAATATGAATGAACAATTCACAGAAAAAGAAATAATGGATAACATACACATGAAAAAATTTTCACCCACAGTAAAGAAATGCAATTTAAGAAAAGAAACAATTGGGAATTCCCTGGTTGTTCAATGGTTAGGACCTGCTATGGCCTGACTTCTATCCCTGGTTGGGAACTAAGATCCCACATGCAACATGGTGTAACCAAAGAAAATAAAATGAAAGAAATGGATTGTACTACATCCAGTGTTAGAGGGAGTGTTCATCTGTATAAACTTTCTAAAACTGTTTGGTAATATACATCAATATATACCAAAAGTCCTTTTAATTGACCTATAATTTCACTTATTATTTGTCATTATTAGTTATGTTTTACATGTAATAGTGTGTATCTGTCAATCCCAATCTCCTGATTTATCCTCCTCCCCTTACCCCTGGCAAAACTGTAAGTTTGTTTTCTACATCTGTGACTCTATTTCTGTTTTGTAGCTAGGTTCATTTGTACTTTTTTTTTTTTAGATTCTTCGTATAAGTAATATCATATGATGTGTCTTTCTCTGTCTGACTTACTTCACTCAGTATGACACACACAGACGTGTTCAAAATGGACTTCTTCCTCTTGATCTCTAGACTGTGTATTTATAGACTTTGTAATTTTTTAAAAAAATCCTATTTTTGAAAGAAAGACAAGAAAGAAAGCCATCATAATATTAAAAGTAATTAAATGGATAGTATAATTACAAGAGGTTTATATATATTCACATTTTTCAGTATTTCTAGTGGTTGGACTATCTGTGTTTTATATTTTATTTGATATGCCTGTAATTATCATGGGAGTAAAAGTCAGGAAATTTTGTTACCTAATCTCATATAAGTTTGTTAAATCAAAGTTTCAGATGCAAAATGTAACAGGAAAACAAACTGAACCCTCATTCATTATACCTGGAGGTTTTTAATGTTAATTATATGATGTCACAAATTAATCATATGTAGAATATTCCCTTTCAACAAATACTAGCTATTTACAGAATGAAACACAAGTCCTGAAATAAGTTCAAGATATTTAAAAAATAAAGAAGCAGTACTTTCATGGCACAGTATCCAGGGACTTCTTTTATGGACTTTGGGCATTCATCACAGGATGTCCCTTAGCTTCATTTGTGAAGTTCGTAAAACTGCACCACTTAAATAGCCTTTCTCCACTGTTTCTTTGGTATTTCTTTTCCCTTGGAACTCTGTCTCCCATTATATAGTTTTTTTCATTTTCAAATCATCTGAGCTTCACTTTTGAAATGCTTGGTAATCATTTCTTCCATTAATTCTATGAGACTATATATGCTCCAGTTTTTTCATGCTCTGTGTTCTTCTTACCTTTCACAGGGTTTTAAACTTTTAGCCTGACCACTCTAGGCTCAGTTCCAAGGCTCAGTTCTTGGTCTAATGCTCTTAAATTTCTGTATTTACATTCTCAGGGAGCAGATCCTTTTTTAGAGTGTTAAGTAACATCATAAACATGGCTTACTTCTAGGAACCTAACTTCTTACTCTTTCTCTAGTTTGGTACCTCTCTTCATCTTAGAACCGTTTTGCCCAACTTGGAATCAAATGTTGCCAAAAAGTAGAACTCATCTTTTCCCTTATGCTAGCATCCATTTCCATTTTCTCTTTCATTGCTCGTTACATCAGCATCTTGGCCCTCTAAACTATTAACCCCAAGCTCTTTGCTCACCATCATTCTCATCAGGAATTTTACTCAAACTAACCATAAAATAGATAACCCTTTGTTGAAATAAATTTTACATGAAGAATTATTACAATTTGTTCAAAAATTCTCCTGTTGAGATGACTGGCAGTGGAAAACTTGCTTTTTTAAAAACATCTTTTGCCCACACTTTGTAGCATGTGGGATCTTATTAATATTTCCCTGGCCAGGGATCAAACCAATGCCTCCTGCATGGAGGTCCCACTGGACCACTAGGGAAGTGCCCCAAATATTCTGGTTTTTCTCTCTTCTATCCACACTATTACATAAACAGAGCTCTGATGCTGTGTTCCATAAATAGGAATTCATTTTTTCAGTTATGTGCATATTTCTATTTAGAAGCCTAAATCTACAATCCTGGGAAAGAGAAAGAATTTTGTAACATTATCTCCATGCATTAAAAAAATTAATGCATATCAAAGATTTGATTTAACTCATTAAGGGAGCAAGGCAGATATTACAGCAGGTTCAGACTATCTTCTTACATTTTTATTTGTAACAAACTGACCTCTGGAAATTTGCATTCTTTTTTTTAAAGAACAGTACCCATTAATTTATACAAATTCTGTTATTGTGTAGTGCTTTTCTCACTTTTCCTGGAAACATTTTCTTCTTCTTAGAAAAAAAAAGTATATCTTTGTTTCTCAGGTTTACTTGTTTTGTAATGAGGTCTTAACTAACTTGGGAAAGAAAATTAGGAGAAATCAGTCATACTGTTTTTCTTAACTAAATGTTTGAAAGTGGAAGTGTTAGTCATTTAGTGGTGTCCAGTTCTTTGCGACCTCATGGACTACAGCATGCCAGCCTTCCCTGTCCTTCACTACCTTATGGAGTTTGCTCAAATTCATGTCTATTGAGTCAATGTGAAAGTGAAAGAAAGTGAAGTCGTTCAGTCATGTCTGACTCTTTGTGACCCCATGGACTGTAGCCTACCAGGCTCCTCCCTCCATGGGATTCTCCAGGCAAGAATACTGGAGTGGGTTGCCATTTCCTTCTCCAGGGGATCTTCCCAACCCACGGATCGAACCCGGGTCTCCATCCCAGGCAGGCGCTTTAACCTCTGAGCCACCAGGGAAGCAGCATTGAGTCAATCATGCCATCCAAACATCTCATCCTTTGTTGCCCCTTTCTCCTCCTCCCCTCACTCTTTCCTAGCATCAGGGTCTTTTCTATGAGTCAGCTCTTTGCATCAGGTGGCCGAAGTATTGCAGCTTCAGCTTCAGTCCTTCCAATTCAGGATTGATTTCCTTTAGGCTTGACTAGTTGGATTTCCTTGCAGTCCAAGGGACTCTCAAGAGTCTTCTCCAACACCATAGTTCAAAAGCATCAATTCTTTGGTGATCATCCTTCTTTATGGTCCAACTCTCACATCTGTACATGACTACTGGAAAAACCATAGTTTTGACTATACGGACCTTTGTTGGCAAGGTAAGGTCTTTGCTTTTCAATACACTAAGTTTGTCATAGCTTTTTTTCCCAAGGAGCAAGTGTCTTTTAATTTCATGGCTGCAGTCACCATCTGCAGTGATTTTGGAGACCAAGAAAATAAAGTCTGTTACTGTTTCCATTATTTCCCCATCTATTTGCTGTGGACCAGATGCCACGATCTTCGTTATTTGACTGTTGAGTTTTAAGCCAGCATTTTCACTCTTCTCTTTCACCTTCATCAAGAGGCTCTTTCTTCTTCACTTTCTGCCATTTAGGGTGGTGTCATCTGCATATCTGAGGTTATCGATTTTTCTCCCTGCAATCTTGATTCCAGCTTGAGCTTCATCCAGCCCAGCATTTCACATGATGTATTCTGCATATAAGTTAAATAAGCAGGGTGACAGTATACAGCCTTGATGTACTCCTTTCCCAATTTTGAACCAGTTCGTTGTTCCATGTCTGGTTCTAACCGTTGCTTCTTGACCTGCATACAGATGTCTCAGGAGGCAGATAAGGTGACCTGGTATTCCCCTCTCTTTAAGAATTTTCCACAGTTTTTTGTGATCCTAACAGTCAAAGGATTTAGCATAGTCAGTGAAGCAGAGTTAGATGTTTCTCTGGAATTCTTTTGCTTTTTCGATGGCCCAATGGATGTTGGCAATTTGATTTCTGGTTCATCTGCCTTTTCTCAATCCAGCTTGTACATCTGGACGTTCTCAGTTCATGTATTCCTGAAGTCTCACTTGAAGGATTTTGAGCATTACCTTGCTAGCTTGTGAAATGAGCACAATTGTGTGGCAGTCTGAACATTCTTTGGCATTGCCCTTCCTTGGGATTGGGCATATATGTGTGCATACACATATGGGGCATATATATATGTATGTGTGTATATATATACATATACACACACACAAATGAGTGTGTGTTCTGAGATAAGTATAGTACTAGATGACTGGAAATAATGAACTTCTGTAGAGGCAAGGATAGACAAAAACTTTTAAATTCTACTTTTATCACTGGAAAGAAGTAGTTAGATAGTTTACTTGGTGTTCATGCATCAGATTCTTACTATAGGGGACAGGGCTTCCCTGGTGGCTCAGATGGTAAAGAATCTGCCTGCAATGCAGGAGACCTGGGTTCGATCCCTGGCTTGGGAAAATTCCCTGGAGAAGGAAATGGCTACCCTCTCCTGTATTCCTGCCTGGGAAATCCAATGGACAAAGGAGCCTGGCAGGGTACATTCCATGGGGTCACAAGAGTAAAGCATGCCTTAGTGACTAAACCACTACCATGCATCCGATTCTTACTGCAGACAGGACACTGTGCTGAGTCTTGGGCTAGGGGAGGGGAGAATATGATACGGGTTTGTGCATTTTATAGTTTTTTTCCTTTAAAAGGAGCTTATGTATGATTGGCAAAAGAAAGTTCATAAAATGCTATGTAGAAGGTGGTGCATAAGCATTATAAAATAACCCTGGAAGTTCAACAAAGGATGCAGATGATAGTTAAGGTTAATCCTTTTTTGAAAATTACTGGCTAAAAGCTTAATTTTAAAGGATGCATGAGATCTAGATATAAAATATTAGAGATGAAGTTAGATTCTTAAACAATTTCGCTGTTTACTAATTTTAAATGTAGACAGAATAACACTGATTACCTCAATTGATGGAATACAGAAAACTAGGTTTTTAGTTTCAGATTTGCCACTAATTCACTGTGTAATCTTGGACAGTCAAGACTTTTAAGAGTAAGAGAGGATCTTTAAACTTTTCAGCCAGTTGTTTCCTTACTTAGTTAACCCCTCAGTGCTCTGATATTTTCAGCTATAAAATGGAATAGTTATTTCCCTAATTTCACTGGTTACTAGGATATGAACTTGTCATAAATTTTCAGTGTCATCACAAGTATTTTTCAGACTACTGAACTAGGCTGGCCTATTTAAGAAATATGCTAAAAAATTTGTCATTATACCCAAACTTGTACTTAATATTTACAGATCGAAAACTGTAACTATGCAGTGGAACTTGGGAAGAATAAGGCCAAATTCTCCTTGGTTGGCATTGCTGGGCAGGACTTAAATGAAGGAAATTCAACACTTACTCTGGCATTGGTGTGGCAGCTGATGAGAAGGTAAAGACTGACTTGTTTGTGGTATCACTGTCAGTTTCCTTCAACAAGTCATTTGAAGTAAAATTTCAGCTACTTTTGTAGAATAGCAAACACAGTAGAAATATACAATGCAAAATATATTGTTAATGATTTCTTGTTGACAATAATTTTTTTTATAAATTTACTTTGTTTTGAAAGTGACTCAATCTCTAGAAACACAATTATTCTTATTTAAGGCCTCTGAAAAACTGCTTAGTAAAGAGTTGTTTTAATTTTTTAATATACCAGATAGTAGTTTTTGTTTCTGATTACTGAATTCTGTGACTTTGGAATCTACTTAGTGCAAATACCAGAGTAAAATTAGAAATATTTATTAGAATTGAAATATTTCTTAAATATTCATCTAAATATTGATATAAATGATGTAAGAGTAAATTTTACCACTTTCAGCCTTAAATATATATCTTTTCTGTTACAGGTACACACTGAATGTGTTATCGGATCTTGGAGAGGGTGAAAAAGTAAATGATGCAATTATCATTGAATGGGTCAATCAGACTCTTAAAAGTGCAAACAAAAATAGTTTCATTTCCAGCTTCAAGGTAATCAAAAGCTATTTTAAAATTTGGGAGGGGTAAGAAATTGCGTTTAGGGAAGAATTTTTATTGGGGATTACACTGACTTGGGTTTTGTTAAAACACCCAGTTGATGAGCTTAGGCATACTGATTATTTGGGATGTGTAAACCAGAAATATTCAATTTGAATTCATATATTTTGACTGGTTATCCTATTGAATATAAATGCAAGTTAATATTATTGGACTCTAGTAATATAATGTTCAAGAAGAAATTGAGCCAAAAATGCAATTGTCAAAAGAAAAAGAAAGATAAATAGCTATTGTTTACATAGGATTATAATGTTTTGTGCTCCCTAGCAGCAGTCTCAGAATTGTATTGACATCATTTCCAAGGCATAACAGAGCCAACCAAACCGATTCAAGTGGGAATTGAGAAAACTGGTAGGAAAAAAAAATCAAATCTTGTCATCTGGCTTCATAATGGCACTTAACACTCACTTCCGAGCATTTGTGGATGATTCATAAAGCACTCAGAATGTAGCCTGCACATACATACTGACTAATTTTCATGCATTTCCATTGTGTTTTGCTTTTGCATGCAAGCTGATAGTAGCTACAAATAAGCATGTCTGCTTGTTCACATACATTCAGTGAGCCTTGTTTGTGATTTTATTATATGTGAAAAATTAGCCTTCAATTTGTATTTTTTTTAGTGACTTAAGAGTACAAACAGATGAAACCTTAAGCTTGCCCCAAAGTTATCTACCCATTCTTATTTTCTTGTCTTTGCTGTATATGTTTGACAATATGGTAGAGCAGAAGAAATGTCAGAAATTGATAAATTCAATCTTCTGTTCTTTACCAAAAACTGAGCTGGATGTTGGCAGAGATGTTACCCAGTCCTAGTTCAACAGTGTTTCTTTGTTTTCCATCTTGTAAGGAACTAATTACATTGAGTTTTTATTGTTGTTTATTTAAAGAAAAAAGAATTTTTAGGCCATGATTTATCTTTATATAAAACACAACTTAAAATGTAAGGCAGGAAGGGGGATATATAAAACTCTCTAATTGACAGATACTCTTTAAAATTGTTATACTGAAATTAAACTCATTTGTACATTAATTTGTGAAAAATAAGCATATAGATCATTAAAGTAAATATAATAGATAATATCTAGAAGCAAATTAATAAACATTTTTGAGGTCTTAGCTATTAAGTAACATTTTTTGGTAAAGAAAGGATCTAAGAAATTATTTCGGCTCTCAAAGTGTTTGCCATTTATTTGAAAGATAAAATTTGTATAACTGAGAAGGTAACACTACTACAGGGCAAATGTTAAAATCCAAAGATATAATACAATGAATATTATGGGAAAATCTAACTAATTTCCAAATGAATGGTCAGTTGAAGGGTAGATGGAGAAAGTTGGATTTTATTTGAGCATCAGAGATGCAGGCAGGATTTGAATTCATGGAGAACAAGGCTTCCCAGGTGGTGTAGTGGTGAAGAATCTGCCTGCAAAGAGTTGGTTGCGACCTAACACACAGGCACCAAAGTACAGAAGGGTAATAATAAGCTAGAAGGGGTTCCACCTTGAATAAAGGTAAGTCTGAGAAAGTTAGGAGAAGTAGTTTGGACAGACAGAATGGTTCCTAAGGGATGTAGTGCAAGATATAGGCTGGGCCAAGACTGTGGAGGTGTTGCGGGAAGGGGGACCCCTTCTAGATAGGGCCCGAGAATGGGATCTTGTCACTTGTAAATGAATTGTCTGAGGAGACACATGTGCTGACAAAGCAAGAGATTTTATTGGGAAGGGGCGCGTGTGCGGAGAGCATCAGGGTAAGGGAAACCAGGAGGACTGCTCTGCCACGTGGCTCTTAGTCTCAGGTTTTATGGTAATTGGTTAGTTTTTGGATTGTCTTTGGCCAATCATTCTGACTTAGGGTCAGAATGGACATGTGGACATCAGGAAAGCCTGGTGGTGCATACATCACTCAGCCAAGATGGATTCCAGAGAGGAGGATTCTGGGAGGTTGGTAGGACATGTGGCACCTCCTTTTGACCTTTCACGAATGCTTCCGGTTGGTGGTGGCTTGTTAGTTCCATGTTTGTTACCAGGACATCCTGTCATAAAATAACTAATGCAAATGGTTATTGTGGTGCCTGGCCAGGGTGGGTGGTTTCAGTCAGTGTTTCCCCTAACACAGAAATCTGGCTTTAAAGAGGATATGATAAGGCAAGTAACGTAAGCAAAGTATTTTAGAAATACTGTTCTGAAGGTAGGGAGTATGATAGGAGGAAGAGTCGTGTAAGTGCAAGGAAGCTGTTGAGGCAGAACTCAAGGTAATACAGATCCTGGGTAGGGGTGGGGAATGGGCACTGGGATCTGTAAGAATGGATGTGTGTCTGTGTGTGTTAATCAGTCATGTCCAACTCTTTGTGACCCCATGGACTGTAGCCCACCAGGCTCCTCTGTCCATGGGATTCTCCAGACAAGAATACTGGAGTGAGTAGGGATTCCCTTCTCCAGGGGATCTTCCCAACCTAGAGATAAAATCACAGTTTCCTGCAGATTTTTTACTATCTAAGCCACCAGGGAAGCCCAAGAATAGTTACTTGCAAAAAAACAGGTAGGATTTGGCCTCTTAACTTAGGGATGCACAGGAAGGAGAGGAGTTTATTTAAATGGACAAATTATTTAACTTTTCTAATACTCCTTTGCTTATAAAGTTGAGAGAATTAAAAGAAACAATAATGTGTTAGTATAGTGACACATAGGAATCAGTCAATGGTAATTATGATTATTGTTATTGGCTGACATACCACCTCCTTTTCTTCTTTGTGAGGAAAAAAAACTGGATGTTTAGGGCCTGGGTAATAGAAAGTGGGGATGTCTGAGGTACAGCTGCTTTCTAAACAGGCAGTGAATTTAACAATCCATTTTCAACTTATTGAATTTGAGGTAATTATTAGTAAATGAGTTGGATTAAAAGAGATATTAAACTAGAATTACAACTTGATGATCAGTTGAACAGAAGAGATAGTTGAAAAATGGGGGCTTCCTTGATGGATCAGTGGGTAAAGAATCCATCTGCAATGAAGGAGGCACAGGAGACCGGGGTTAGATTCCTGGGTTGGGAAGATTCCCTGGAGGAGGAAATGGCAACCCATTGCCTGAAAAATCCTATGGACAGAGGAGTCCCGGGCTACAGTCCAAAGGGTCACAAAGAGTCAGACATGACTGAGTGACTAACACACACACACAGACACGCACACAAACCATTTAAGGAAGATGGCTCAAGAGAAAAGCAGACTTGAGACTATGAGTTTACTAGAACTGAGGTGGTAAAAACATATTGCAAAAGTGCTTGGCATTTATATATGTTTGATAATAAAACCTTTAGACAGAATATAAAGAAATATAGCAGTGAACGCTAAAAAATAGCTGGGCTAGGGAAGTTTCTTCCAGCTTGGTATGTTATATTTGAAAGCTATAACAAGTGGTACTAGTAAGAACCTATTAATCAAGGCAGTGCTGTACCCAAAAATTTTAGAAAAGACAAATTTACCCCTTTCAGTTGCAATGTTATTTTTCCTCACCAAGAAGATAAGGAGGTGGTATGTCAGCCAATAACGATAATCGTAATTACCACTGACTGATTCCTATGTGTCACTATACTAACACATTCTTGTTCAATTCTCTCAACTCTATAAGCAAAAAAATATTAGAAAAGTTAAATGACTTGTCCACTGTCATCGAATGTTAAGCAGAATAGCTGGATTTCACATCCAGATCTAACTGCAGGTTGAAAGCCAAGCTATGGTGTTGTTCAGCCCTGGGTTTGACGTAGGCTTAGCTACTTATTAGCTGTGTGACATACTGCTCATTAATTCTGTAAATATTCAAAGCTTCTTACTCTGTGTCAGATGCTTTGCTAGGCGCTGTGGCTATAAAATGCCCTTAAAGAGCTCACTGTCTAGGAAAGGAGGCAAATAAGAAACCGGGAATCACAGTATGGGGTGATAACACTATAGAAGTAATGCTATAGAAATCAGCTAAGGAGAATAGGGAACAGGTGAGAAGGACCTGTGTTTTCCAGAAATCTTAATGGTTTATATTGCCATCTGGGTTACATCTCTTGATGAATAGAACTGAATTTACCTCTGGCTCACATTTAGTATCTATGTAACCTTGGGCAAGTTAAAAATTCCTCTATGCCCGAGTTTTCCCATAATTAAAATGGGGGTATTAATAATACCTATCTTCTGGGTTTGTTGTCAAGCTAAATAAGTTACCACATGTAAACATCTTGGTCATACCTGGCACATATTAACAGCTCAATAAATGGGGCTTACTACACTACACTATCAGCACTGCTAATAATAACGGACATTGTGGAGAGGTTTCTACTGAGTTTTTCTGGAATTCTGGCAACCACAACATTGTTTTTCCACTTTTATTTTTAAAAATGACAGGAGGAACAATGGAATAGAATGTTCTAATAGTAATGTGTACCAAATTAAGAAATGTGTATCAAATTAACAAAATAATAATTTTCACTATCTTGAAAATCAAGCCAAACTCTAGACAAGTTGTCTTTTAAGATTCTGGCATTCTTTCTGCTTAAGTAATTTCTATATGATTAACTCAAAGAAAATGAAAGAAAAATGATGAAAATGTATTTATATACTAAACTAAGGGTTTTACCATAACCCCTGCTCCTTTTGCAGTAAAATGTCTTTCACTGATCATATGCAAATCAGAGAAGTTGGAGGATACATCTGTTGGTTTTTTTTGGAAATAGGAAGATAAGGGATCCAATGTAATCTTTAGAAACTTAAATTTTTCATTCAACTTAGTAAGAGTTTTTCACAAGATGAGTCATAAGGAAACAGGTGAGAAAATCCTTGTTTCCTAAATCTAAGTTAAGAAATATCTAAAATGCCACAAAAAGGTATAAACTTTCAGCTATAAGATGAATTGAGGGGAGAAGGGGGAGACAGAGGATGAGATGGTTGGATGGCATCTCAATCGACATTATTTTGAGCAACCTCCAAGAGACAGTGAAGGACAGGGAAGCCTGGCATGCTGCAGTCCATGGGGTCTCAAAAAGTTGGACACAACTGAGCAACTGAATAACAACAAAAAGACGAATAAGGTCTGAAGATCTAATGTATAACACGGCAACTATAGTTAACACTATTTTAATATAATTGAGATTGGCTGAGAGAGTAGAACTTAAATGTTTTCACACACAATATATATATACATAAGTAAGAGTGACAAATGTATTAATTAACTAAATGGGAGGAATCTTTTCACAATGTGTACGTATACCAAATAATCAAGATGTACATTTTAAGTATCTTAGAATTTTGTCAATTTTAACTAACTAAAGCTGAAAAAAAGAAGTTTTCCCCAAACTTAAAAAACTCTCATAAGTATGTAAATAAGTAATCAAAATATAACAAAATTAAGCCACATGTCTTCTTTTGAACCACCATAGAAACATTATATAAAATAAGCACATAGAAAATTTTAGTTTATTATAGAATGACATGCATGTTAAGCTTTTAGAAAGTGTAATATGTAATTAGATTCTTCTAGAAAGCTTATTAACCCACTCCAGTGTTCTTGCCTGGAGAATCCCAGGGACAGGGGAGCCTGGTGGGCTGCCATCTATGGAGTCGCACAGAGTCAGACCCGATCGAAGTGACTTAGCAGCAGCAGAGAGCTTATTAAAAATGTAGATTCCTAGCCCCATCAACAAATAACCTCTCATTACTCTAAGTGCAGGGATTAATTTGTACTTTTAATAAGCATCTTAGGTGACTTTCATGTAGGTGGTCTGCAGACTGTACATTAAGGAAACATGTGTGAGATTTTTTCAGAAATAGAAAAGATGCCCCTTAAACAGAATCTGGATTACCAGCATCATAAATGACCCTAATATCTCACTATTTCTTCTTCACTCCAAAAACCCCATATGAACATTCTAGAAAATGAAGAATATAAATGTAGCAGTTCATAGATCCCAGCCCTCAAAAAGAACTCTGTATTCTTCACATAGCTTCATACTGTTTTATCAAACAGTTATTAAAAACCACATTTGGCCAGGAACTGTACTAGATGTTCTCATTTAATGTTCCCAAGAATCCTGTGACATTTCCATTGTAGTGATTAGGCAAACAGTGCTTTTGGCTTCAAGTAAGAGATACTCAACTTAAGGTGAGTTAAACCAAAAGGAAAGGTACAGAAAAATAGCAGAGATCCAGAAGTAGGGTAGACATCAGGATTGGCTGAGCCAGTAATTGAAGAATGTCTTTCAGGTCTTTTTTTTTTTTTTTCTATTTCAGAAGGTTTTTTGCAAGTTGCTTTATTTACAATGTCAACTTTAAAAGTCACTGAACTAAAATTAAGTGGACAATAAACTAGGCAGAAATTGCTTTACAAAAAGGGAAAGCCCCAAATGCCACTTTCTATAGGGAACCCACAGTTCAATTTTATTTAGAGCAAAGAAAAGAAACTTTCAATCATACTAGAAGAAACTGGGCCATAAGTTTGGGAACTGTACTGAAATCACACATGCAATGAAGACAACATTCTGCTAATACAATTGACTTGCTGCTGCATTTGTTGACTGTTTTTCTAATATTAAAAATTATAAACAAAGCAGTGCAACTAATATTTGGAATAATCCTTACAGTGTTACAGCGTTAGACACGAAATTTCACTTCTCCTCACACCACTGGTTCTCTTTGCATACCTGGGCTTCCTCTTCCTCAGTAAAATCATTTTTGATATTGAATGTCTTTCGAATCTCCTCAGGAGTTTTCCCCTTGATCATATTAGCAACAGTCTTGCAGGTAACATCAAGCAAACCTTTGATGTCTAAGTAGTTTGCTGCCAATATAAGCTCAAAGAGTGTCCCTTGGTCAACTTTCAGAAATTCTTGATCCCAAACAGGTATATCATCTGTTCGTTTTTCTTTGTTCTCATCATCCTCGGGAGGAGGAGGATCATCCTTGTGGTGGGTGCACCACTGAATGACCTTTTTCAATATTGCTGCATTAACATTTGGCAAGGGGACTGGATCATCATCTCCTTCATCCATTCCTAAATCTTCCAACATAGTCTTGATGGTCACAGACTGTTTTGCAATTTCAACATCAACTTCAAATATCTCTCCATCAGAACTCTGCAGCTTAATTGAAGGCATGGTATTAGGTCTCAAAGAGATAGAAGGCCGGAGGCTGAAGTGAGCAGGGAGGCGTCGTCCAACAGCAAAACCTAAAGGCGGAGAACAAGGCCAATATAGCGCCCTTTCAGGTCTTTATCATCTCTGCTTTGCCATCCAAAGGGTCAGTTTCCTTCTAAAGCTTTGGATAGTTGCTGGTTGTGACAAACATTTCATCCTCTTATTTACATTCAGGAAGGGGTGCTGCTAGCTTTCCATAGCTCTTCTTGAATATAAAAATTAGGCCCAGATATAGCAATCAGATGGGATTCCTCTCTTTGACTCTTTTAGACTATTTTTTCCAACCTTTTTCATTCTTGTCTGCCTAATGAGTCTTTTAAACATTTTCTTCCTAAATTTCCGCCCCCACCAAAATTTTAATGCCATAGATATTAGTGTATCTGTTATTTACAGTATGCTCTACACATAAAAATAATAAGTTTATCACCTCACCCACAGAATAAACGGTCTACACTAATTCAGGGTCACCCTTGGAGCTGTGGTAGGGTTAGTTTTCCTTAAAGCACACATCCATGTGTGGGAAGTATGCATTCAGAGTAAAAATGTGGGTTCTGTCAGGCTGGAGAAAGTAGTGAGGAATGAGTGGACTCTGGTGCAAGCAACAGGTGCCACTATTCATGCTGAGAGACAGAACAAATAATTTGTTCAAGTACAGGTAAATGGTAAAATCAATCCAGCCCATGATTTCTGACTTCAATAGCAAAGTTCTATCCATTAGAATTTCGTTGTCCATTTTTAGTTGCTTTGGAGGTAACATCAAAAGTGAAGAATCTTGGGCATTAGAGTTGGACAGTTGTATGTTCAAATACGGGTTATGTATGGACTGGTTGTAGAATAGGTCTTTTGAGCTCTCTGACCTTCATGTTCTTCATCTTTAAAAGAGAGATTCTAATTTATTACCAGACTGTTAGGATTAAACAAAAACATGTAAAGCAACAAGAATAATGCCTTTGTAAATATTAGTTCCTTTTCATTATTATTTTAATTTTTCTTTCTGAAAAATATTAAGTGAAGCCTTAGGAATCCATGGTCTAAGATAAATACTACTAGAATTTGCAAAATTGTTCATTTAAATTTCATCTATTCCCTTTCGAAAGTTGTTTGTTTTTTATAGAATGGATACTGTAGTTAGCATATTTCAGAAACTGTCATATCCCCAAACCTTATTACAGGTATGGTGACCATTCTCTATGCTGTAAGCTCTGCAAGGATAAAAGGAAAAGCATATTTTAAATGGTTTGTGATGTTTGTTCATTGCATAATAGCTGAATGTTAAGTATAATGAAAATTTTTGAACTGCTTTTACTTATATGGTTATGACCTTCCAGTCTAACATGCACCAAAGATGCTTATGAATGTTTATCTTTATTTTCTAGGACAAATCCATTAGCACTAGCTTACCTGTTTTAGATTTAATAGATGCCATTGCACCAAATGCAGTTCGTCAAGAAATGATTAAGAGAGAAGACCTTTCTGATGAGGACAAGCTGAACAATGCTAAGTAAGCCTTATGGTTTATATTAGAACATAGTGGCTCTTTCATTTTTAGTCCTTACATGTGAAGTATTATGTCCTAAAAATTGACGTTTTTAAATACAACTTATATGGGGAATATGATTTAAAGACTCAGAAATTTAACTTTCTTGTAAAGTTAATTGTGTCAAAATATTTCATTCTTTTGTTAACATATATTAAGTGAAAACAAACACCAAGATATTTTTCTTGTCTTTTCAAGATACGCCATTTCTGTTGCTCGAAAGATTGGTGCCCGGATATATGCCTTACCTGATGACCTTGTGGAAGTGAAACCAAAGATGGTTATGACAGTGTTTGCATGCTTAATGGGAAAAGGACTGAACAAAATAAAATAATAAAGCATTTAATATGATTTTCTGCCACATTAAACACATTGAATGTCTCACAGTTTACAGAATTCTGAAATGTAGTGGGTATAAAACCAGAGATTATTTGTATGCTCAAAATAGTTGTAGAAATCATTAATGATTTTAATAGCCTGTTCATACTAGTTAGGATTTGTTGGTCTTTTTGGATAACACAATTAAATTTACCAGTTGATACTGATAATAGAATATGTTTATTTTCAAGATGATACTTTATGATTATTTTCATTTCCTTAAAGTCTCCTTAAAACAAGACTAATTCATTCTTTTTCATGGTTCAAAAATGATCAATACAAAAATTTTTCTGCAGGTCCTGATGTGAAATATGTTTTGATTTTGTGTGTGTGTTGATTTTGATCATAAATGTATTCAGAGTCAAAATCCAGTTTAATCCTTTTATTTTTTCCCTCCAACTATGTAAAGTGGTCCAAAACTTAAACTTTTCTGTAAATTTCTATACTGTCTAAAATTTTTAAGTGACAAGTATTGTTAACACTAAACTTTTTTTATATAAGGACTAACTCATGAATAAACTTCAAAGTTCATTCTCTTATATAAGTATTAATAGCAGGAGCTTTTTACTTAACACTTAATTTTAACTACATGATACTTTATATATCCTGCATGACATGCAGATATATATATATAGAGAGAGAGAGATAAGATGTTATTAGAGAAATATGTGTGTGTACGTATATATATTTTGCACCTGAATTACCCAGGTTTTCTTAAATAGTATGTATACAGACAGCCCTCCATATCCAATGCATGCATATCAGATGGTCCCACACCCATAGATTCCCATGATGGCAGATCAAAGATATTTGAAAAAACAAGAATTCCAGGAAGTTAGGAAAAGCAAAACTTAAATTTGCCAAGTGCCAGCAATAATTTCCATCTCATTTACATTGTATTTACAACTATTTACACAGTATTTACATTGTATATTAGGTATAAGTAATCTAGAGATGATTTAAAGTACATGGGAGAATATGTGTAGGTTATATACAAATACTGTTTCATATTAAGGATCTGAGCACCTGTGGATTTTTGTATCCTTGTGGCGGGTGGCGAGGCAGGGGTTGGTTCCTGGAACCAATCCTCTATATACTGAAGGAGGACTGTATTGGTCAGTTAGCCAACCATGAAATAATTATTGTGCCCCCACTAGCTGTGTAACACTTTTCAGTTTGTAGCTATCGAGTACATGAAGATTTCTTTTAGAAATATTCATTTTGGATATGCATGTACTTACTTTTCAACTGACTTCTTTCAAATATTTATAGCCAAACACTGTGGCTACAGCTCTCAAGACATGTTGATGCTGTATTGTTAGCTTCATGTTACACATGCTAATTTTTGATATTCTAGCCCTAAATAATTTAGAATATGCCCATTAAATATCTTTAAAAGAAAGTAATACAAAGCTAACATTCAGCATATTTTCACATTTTCCCAGTTTCCTTCAAATTGGCAATGTTTGATTAATACTTATGTCACTTGGGAGTAGCGATGCTTCAGATGTATTTTTGTCTGAATTTTTGGCAACAACCGATTCTGCTCCTAACAACTGAATCCAGAAGTCTAGTTCCTTCATCTTCCACCGTTTGCGCCAGTGAGCAGTACTTCTGTACTACAAAAAATGCTGTCATTCTATCTCACTGTGAATGAGTAGTCTAAATCCCCCATCTACCATGTATTAAAACATACATGTTGGTAAGACATTGGTAAGAGTGAGACTACTCATATGTTTAGAATAGAAATTTTTTTGAATGAAATCATCAATAGGTGGGACTTTGAAATATATTCTCCTATAAAAGAAAAAAGATTTCCTTTCCTAATTTTATAGTTTGATGATTATTGTCTTATATGAAGATGTGTTCTTGCTCTTTTGTGAGATTATTTAAATCATTTTTCCCCTTTTGATTTTTTTTCACCATATTTGCTAAGTTCTCTAATTTACATGAAATTTGGCACTTTAGAGTGTTCTTTTCCTCACAAAAAATTTAATAAAATTCTGTGTATGTACAAATGTGTCAGTATTTATTTCATTTAAAGAAAAATACATAACTTTGAAAATTAATCTCACAGACTTACTTTCCAGAAAAGATTTTGTCATAAATGGGTGTTGAATTTTGCCAAAAGCTTTTTCTGCATCTACTGAGATGATCATATGGTTTTTATCTTTCAGTTTGTTGATACGGTGCATCACATTGATTGATTTGCATATACTGAAGAATCCTTGCATCTCTGGGATATATCCCACTTGATCTTGGGGTATGATCCCTTTAAATTAAAAAAAAAAAAGAACAATCCCTATGCTTGAGTAAAACAAACAAAATTTATTATTTTGGAAGGAGCAAAGGTGGTTCTATGATTCTTTAGTAGGAAGAATTTTTGGAAAGATCAACTGCATGATTACTACAAATTTAGTTTGTGATGAAATATTGAGTTAATTAACTCATTAAAATAAATTCATCTATTATGATCCAGGTATAATGCTAGACACTTGAGATTCAACTGAGAAAAATACAGACAAAAGTTTCCTGGCCTCATGAATCTTATTTCCTAGTGGAGAAAGATGGTAAACAATAAGAGCTGCAGATGGTGATAAATGCAATAAGAGAAATAAAACAGGGTAATGTGATACGGACTTCGGAACTGGGGTAAAGATGATTTTAGTTTGGTAGGTCAGGAAAGGTGCCTCTAGCATTGTGATATTCAGGCTGAGATATGAATGAGGAGAAGTCAGATGATAACTATTCAATAGAAGGAACAAGTGCAAGGCTCCAAGGCAGGAAGAGTCTTGCAGGCATTTTAGGAAAAGAAATATGTAAATGTGGCCTAAGAATAGTGAGGGAGAAGAAGAGAGTTTGGAGATGAAGATAGGGCCTGTTACTAGATCTGAACCTGGATTTTCTCTCCAACTGGAGTTGTAATGGCTCTTCTCTTTGGTACCTGAGGTTCCGAGTTAGTTTAAGTAATGTGCTGCTTCTGAATCTTGCATGCCATTGTTCATTATAATTCTATCACTGATTTCATATCAAAGATGAAAAAGGATCCTAAAATACCCCGATTTATTCTGGATAAAAATGAACACGAGAAACAAGGGAATCTTTTGCATCTGGGATGATTCAAAAAAGACATCTGAAAATACAGGTGCAACACTAGCTTACTTTGAAGGAGGAAAAACCCTCTAATTGTTTAGAATGTTTCCTAGGACAGCTCCTAAAGTACACTGGAATTCCCCTGAATCTAAGAAGTCAGTCCAGCCCCTGAGGGACTCCTATGGATAAGAAATCACCTAAACCCAGAAGCTTGAAAAAACTACTGATTATAGTTCTGAGCCACCTGAATTTTTACCGGTAAACACTCTGGAACTTTTGGATGGGTCAGGGTTACAGTTGTTCGGCTACTGAGAAAAAATATTTTACTGAACTACAAAGAGTGTGTAAGCACACACACATGTAACAAATATGTACCACTGTGTTCACTGGCCAGATTTATTATGAGAAATTTGACAGTCCACCAGATACACAAACTTAGAACTGTGTTAAACATTAGAGAAGAGCAGATTTATGATCTACTAGGGATAAGAGAGGAAAAGCTAACATGATTCAGTAGATAACTATTTTGAAGTAAACAGATGAAAATGTTTGGAAAGGTGGGCAGTCTAGTCTACTAAAGATCTCAGAGATGATGGAAACAGGACTTTGCATACCGAGGAAGATATATTTAGGAAATTTGGGAGTTAGTGTTGGCAGGACAGGGATGGAGCAAGTCAACCTGAAAAGAACAGGAAGTATTTCTCTCGAATATAAGATACTCAAGTAAATTTATATATTGCCTTAAAAACCCAAGCACTAAGGGCACAATTTAGATTTTTGCACAGTTGGCTGTGGAAAGCAATGAAAACGATTCGGGATACAATTTTCAGCCCCCCTCCCCCAGTTCTTAAAGGTGAAAAAATATGCTTTAAATCAAGTGTAATTAAAAAAAAATATTCAAGGAAGCAGCACTTCCTGCATTCAGTTAGCTTTTGCTTACGTAACACTCATCCTCTAAAATCTGAGTTATAATAGTAAATGTGAAGATGAACAAGAAACCACTGGAAGGACTGTGACGTAGATGATTCTAATGATGTGCTTATCCAATGGTTACAGGCAAATAAATGTATGACACCAGAAATATTATGCAAATTTTATACCACAAACTAGTTTTAAAAAAAGTACAGTTTTAGAAACGAGGGTAGCTAGCCCAGTATACTTGCACACAAACAGGTGTAGTGACGTGGCAAGGGTCCTGTCCTTTTTGCTTTAGCCAGAGGACAAAGGAATATGAAATATATTCGACAATTCCACTAGGGGTTTCGACTCAGCGTTATGTCGTCAGAGGCTCAACAAACCACCCCGCCACATGTTTCCATGTATGCACCCAGAGACCGCGAGGGAAATTACCTCAAACTTGCAGCCCGGGTGTCGAGAGGGTGCACCCAACCGTTCTCCTTTTCCTGGGCTGCAAGGATGCTTTCCAGCGGGCAGCGCAAGGGGTAGAGGGCGGGGTGTTCGCAGACCCCGCCTTCGTCGCAGGCCCCACCCACCGCCGAGCCCACTCCGTCGTCGTCGCTAGCGCTGAGCGGAAGATGACGTGAGGAGAACCGCGAACATCTCCCTTTGCCCTGCTCGACCGGTGATTCCCAGGGCCCTGGTGCCCGGCGCGTGTAGAATCTCCTCTTGGAGCTCCTCTCCCACCGATTTTCGTCGTCCTCTCTGGCCGGGCCGCCCTCCGCGCGGCCCTTGCGGCTCCTGGCACGGCCCCGCGCTCGGCTGCCGCCCTGGCGCGCGCCACCCTGTCGTCCCCGGACGGGCGCGGACCCTCTCGGCCTGGGCGCCGGCGGCTGGGGAGGGGGCGCTGGCCCCGGGGCCGCGCATGCGCTGCCACGAGTCTGGGGCTGTCAGTGGAAGGCGAGTGCTGGCTCCGTGGGGAGGCGACGCCCTTCGGGGCCAACGGGCCACGAGCAGAAGCGGCCGTGGGAACGACTCATCCCTTTTCCAGCCGGGGGGCGGGGCTGGGATCGGGGTCGGGGCTGGCGGGGGCCCCGCCCCCGTCCCCTGGCCTGCCCCCTTCATGGGCCGCGATGATGGCGGCCCTGTACCCGAGCACGGACCTCTCGGGCGCCTCCTCCTCCTCCCTGCCTTCTTCCCCATCCTCCTCTTCGTCGCCAAACGAGGTGATGGCGCTGAAGGATGTGCGGGAGGTGAAGGAGGAGAACACCCTGAATGAGAAGCTTTTCTTGCTGGCGTGCGACAAGGGTGAGAGCGAGGCCCCTTTCTCCGCTTTTGGATGCCCCTGCCCTCCACACTCCTCATCCTGTTCCCGGCCTCAACTTGGGGCATTCCCTGTTGCTCTCCCGCCAAGCGTCTGTTCCCCCCGCGCTCGCTGCATCACTGGGGCCGCCGGGCACCGCCTCTGCCTCGTGTGTGCGGAGCTGAAGGGCGGGAGCAGCCGTGGGTGCCGCCCTCGGAGCCTCGCGCCCCTCTGCCCTCGGTCTACTTTCGTGGGGTCCGGATTTCAGGTAGCGTCGTGGGAGCCGAGACGCTGCTAGGGTTTCAGCCTCACCTCCGCTAGTGCCCACCTGAGTCTCCTAATCTCCCCTTTGGGGTTTCAGTTCTTTCTGGAAGGCCAGAGGTTTTGTCTAGTTTGGGACTTTTCGGTCCTAAAATCCCATGCTTGGGGTTTCTCTTGCTTATGGGCTTTCAGTTGTTTTTTGTATTCTTTTCTTTCTTTTTTTTAAAAACGTTACTTGTATTATTTAACTCCAGCCACCTAGTGTTCTGTGATTGTTGGGTGGGATTAGGCATATTAGTATCCTAGGTGGACATAAAGACAGGATTTTACCGAAAATTCTAAGTTCCAAAGTTTCTCCACATTTACGGAAACAGCTTTGTTCATGCGTTTTTACTGGAGAGAAAGGTTTATTGCTCCTCATTCTTTTTCGGGAAATACAGGTAGTACAAAATAATTTGGTATTGTAAAAGAATCGGACAGGATTTCGCGACTAAACAACGACAAACAAAATAATTACAGGGCAAAAATGTGGAATATATTTAATGTGTTTCTTTTTTTTTTAATCTGGAAATGGATCACTTTTATGGCCATAATAAAGTCTCTTCACTTAAGCATTCATCTATTGATGAATATAATAAAAAGAATGGGAAATTGATTGCCCGAAGACTGCTTTTATTTCCTACATGTAAAAAAGCGTTCTAACTTCTCTAAATTTATTCAGGTTGGCTTCCAATGGCCATGCTTACTTAGGAAAAATGTTTAGGATCATGCAAACTTCCAAAACATAAACCCAAAGGGCAGCTTACACTGTGAAAAGATTACAGAGGATTTTTTTGTCTCTTTGTTTTTTTAATAAATGACAGCCTCCTTAACTGCTGTTAAGGAGTTAAGGAGTTAACTGCTTTTGAGATAGGATTTTATTTACACAACTTTTAGAAAACACATTTAAGTATAAGCGAAGTCTACCTGTGTCCATCGTGAGTAACTTTTATGATCTTATGTAATAGTTTTAAATTATATGATGCAAGCATATTTGGAAGTCCACCATGGACACAGTTTGGAGTAGTCTTGAAAATGTAAAGAAACGTATAACCTCATAAATATCACCTGTCTGTGGATTATGTAAAATTTTTAGTATTTCTGGAGTGGATAGTCTGAATTCTCTTCCTTTGAAATTTCTCTGAGAGGGGGGGAAAAAAAAACTCAGAGTGAGGGGTGGAGAACAGATTGTGTTATACTAGAATTACTAAGTGGCTGCTGCTTCTTTCTACCCAGCTTACTGAGCAGTGGTTATTTTAAAGCAAACAGAGATTATGTCAAGAGAGGCAATTTAATATTCTTGTCAAACTGAGGACAGAGGAATGTCATAATGGAACATAGCTTGAGTAAATACTTGTATGGTGTGTATATTTAGGATTATTGCATGACATATCTCAAAGGAGTTTTAATGTATGATAGCTTTGTAGCCTATCAAGTCCTGCCAGTTGAAATAGCCTTGGTATTCTTGGTTAATTTCCTTTTTATAACATCAGTAAGATCCTTGGAGAGATTTGGCTTTTGGAGGTAGGGTGAAAAGTAAATATGCTTTTTCTCTCCCATATAAAGTAAAAAAATTTTTAACAAGTGAGATGAAATAGGTATTTTTTGTTTCAGGTATGTTGAAATGAATTCTTGGGTTAGATTTTGAAAAATGGCTTATTTCTTACATGTACTTATGATATACATTTATGCTAAAAAATAAATTTTAGTGATAGCAGAGGTTTTTTTTTTTTATATTCACTAATATTGTTAAACCTTTTTCAGTGTTACCCAAACCAAATCTAAAAGTGAAAAATTTCCTAAAGTGGCTATAGTTTCCACTGTTACTTTGGAGCTTTCATCAAACCAAATGGCAAACATTTACTGAGACAGCTTTCTGGGTGGAGTTATATGCTTTTCATAGATGATTTCATTTAATCCTTACAACCCCATGAGCCAGATAAATTGTTATCCCCCATTTTACAAATGAGGAAAATGAGGCTTAGCAAAACTTTATAATTACTTTGCCCAAGGTTACATTAGTTAGGAAGTAGTATAACTAGGATCTATTTTGAGTCTATACTCTTTAAACTACTGAGTTTTATTGATCTAGTTGTAGTTGAATGAATGAAAATCATTTGTGTTAGAAAAGACACATCCATATTTGGAACTTACTGGTTGGAAATTACACTTGCTCTCTATGTCTCTTATTAACTGATGTTTCCATGGATTATACTTGTCCAGTAAAAGTAAAAAAGGATGAGAGCAAATTTGCTCTAGATTATCTTTGTTTCTCATCCTTTTTCATTTGGCAGTTTTTCTCTATATGTGTAAAATGTTCATAATGTATTCCACTTGAGAATTCCTAAAGCAGAAATTGTGAAGATGCGGTGGTATGTGTTTGTTAGTAGATGGGTGGCTCTTTGAAAGTTGTGTACAGTTTAAGGAGTAAAGGAAAAAAATAGGAAATAAAAATGATTTTATAGTTTGATTTTATAGTGTGTATAGCTGGCTTTTATGTAAATTAGTTCTATAGATCTAGGAAGTGCTGATCCAGGTAGTGGCCACTTAATAGTGACTGTTGGTGATCTTGAAAGTATGTCAGAATCATCTTAAAGGTAACATTGGTTCTTTCTGAAAAATTTAGAAGAAAAAGTAAATCGAAGATTTCTGTGCCAGTTTTGTAAAGTTAAGTCTGCTCCAACCACCTAGTAAAATTCTGAGTACGCATGTTCTTTTTAGACATAGAATGCTGCAATTCAGAGGTAAAAGTTAATTGAAATAAGAGCAGCTATACATGTGTTGTTATATGAAGTATTAAGCAGTGATTCTTACCACCCATTGTCTTTTTCCTTTCTCATTGAAAGTTAAGTGTGGTAATGAGCCACTTTTATTTGTGGGAGACAGTGGTCTACTTCAGGCCTTTGGGCTGGAGAAAAGATTAATACCTTTATTTAGGGAGCACCTAAGCTATGTATGCTCTTTGAAAGTAACTTGAGTAGATGGTAGCTTTAGTATAAATCCTTTAATTTGCTGATGATCGGTCATCAGTTCTTGTGCAGAAAAAGAAAATGATGAAAGGACTCAGTCTGGATTCAGTCCCTGTCAGCTTTTCATGAAGACCATTTTCTGGAAATTCGATTTGCAATTAATGTCAGGAGGCCCTTGAATTTCAGCATTCAGGAGTCAGGGGAGGGATGGAAGGAATCGAATTTCACCCTTATTCTTGGGCTTAACCTTAATAGTCTAGAGTCTTGTGTCACCTTTGTGGTATGATTTGTTGCATTGTATGGAGCATGCTTTGATGCCTGGGTTCCACTTAAATTTTGCTTGCCTTTGTTTCAGCGTGCTTTTAAAATGGGTAACATTTCCAGGAGAGGTGATGTCAAGCTGCTGTTTTAATAGCACTTTTACTTAATGTATTTAGTGGGACTTTTAAAGAAGCTGTTTGAAAAGAGACTTTGAAGTGTTTGGGGTTGGAGAGGATGGCAGTGGGAAGAAAAAGTGTGGAGTACTGGTAAAACTGCCAAGAAGTTTTATGTTGACAAGGGACACCTAATGCAAAGAGGTATGTGGTGTGACGGGATAAGACTTTGCAGCGAGGAGAGGTAAAGAGGGTACTATAGACACAATTCTACAAACATTTCACAAATTATCATTAGTGTAAGTGTTTTGGACAAGAGAGTTTTTCAAATCACCAGTTATTTTAACAAAAAAGACTCTTAAATCACTAAGATCTTGTGGATAGTATGTAACAGACTAATCATTGAGCAGCTAGCTGCTTCTTAGTTCTGTACTGCTGGTATTTCGTTGTAGTGATTCCACAAGTGTTTCTTTATTTCATTTTTAATTCGGTGCTCTTTTCTACAGTTCATCATCTGAATGTATAACATTTATCAAGCTAATTTTGCTAAGGCACTGTAAAGGTGCTTTATCAAAAAATAACTGACTACATCCCTATCTTTTTAGTAGTTTCCTGTGTAATGAAGATGCTCTCTTGTGAGGAGCAGTAAGGAAAAAAAGTATGTTTGGGCCTAATAAATCTGTCTGAAGGGAAGAAACAAATGCTCAGTTTAACTACATGGCCTATTTGTGATTTGGAAGATGGGATATTCTTAGTATACAGTCAGTCTTTTATCTGGGAAGTTAAACAAATGTAACCCAAGCCAAACCCCTTTACCTAGTATATTATAAACTTTGGGGAGGATATTAAAAGATTAGGTTTTATTGCATGGATATTGTTGCAACCTAGAAATAATTCCTCTTCTTCCCTGCTTCCAGTATTGTAAATATCTTCCTTATAACTGACTTCACCAGATATATTGATACTAAGAAGTTTAAATTCTAGGATTAGTAATTTAATATGCATTGAGTTCAAAATCATTAAGAGGTGATTAAGTAGTGACTTTTAAAGACATAAACAAATTATCAGGACTAATATGTGGTGTTATCCAATACCATGTCCTATAGTTGTGAAATTCAGTGGAATTTCTTTGGATGCCCAAACTTTGTGACCTATAAAATGGTGATCAGCACCATTATTAATAGCTTCTGTTAAAGAAAAACAAACATGTTTGTTTTTTGGTCATATTTGCTTCATTACTAATCCTTTTATATTTTTGTAGCTTCATTTATATTGATCATTAGTGTACTTTTTCAGTTCTATAAATATGTATAATTTAAATGTGTGAGATTAAATTTAAGCAACACAGTAAATCATTTATGA